CCTTTAATGATTTTTGTACCTGTTCCATCATTTACACAATACTTTAATCTGTTTTAAAAAGTGAACTAACTCCATTGAGGCCAGTATCTCATCACCCTTTATTTACATGTATATATGACCTGCTAGCTCAGAGCCAGTCCGTAGAGTAGTGAGATTCTCTGAGACTTTTGTCTATATCTGTCTGCCAGGGCTCCCTGACTGGCCCAGGTTAACAGCTTCAATCAGAGATCTGGTACTCAATGAGAGCCACCTGACCCTCATTCCAATCGTTATAAAAAGGTTTAACAGTTATATAATTGTGAAAATGCCAGCATATTCTCATACTGATAGCTTTTAACTATTTACCTCCTCTAATTTTGCATACATTATGTTCTGACAGTCAGCCCTAATAATAAGATGACAGTCTTCATTGACAGAAATGACTACCCTTCCTTCACCATTTCTGGGAACGATAGATGGGGAATGATCTTGATATTTGAATGGACTGTTTCCATTCTGATGGCATTTTCCTTTGAGAAGTTTTGACTTCAAGTTTCTATAAGAGGAGGCAGCTACAGTTTTCCCGAATATTAAGGAAACCATCGCAGAATACAATGCATTATAAATCATGGTGTCTAACTGGCATCTGGAGTTTGCACTGCCAGGTTAGTGTCAAGCTTTTTACTCTTTGTTATGTGCTATTTTAAATGTCTGATGTATTTTGATTCATGGAATATTTCTTAGTTTATAAACCATAACTGATGAAATTCTAGAATGTTCAGAAAATGGCATGTGGGAAACAATATTCTGTTGAAAACCCAATTATCAGTTTTCTGTTTCATGTCTTCAGCTTTTCTTTGACTTTGAGTAGTGAAGCACGCTATTCAGCTATTATTGTAATGTCACTAATATAGCCAATTGCAGCAATAGGTACAATATGATTAGATCTGCAAGATGCTAAAGATTGCTGTTACTTGCTAGATTAATGTCCATAAGTTTTCCCCGGTACTAAGAGATGATAGACTATTATCAGAGTTAGTCCCCAGATTTTCCTGGTTATATTATGCTTAGCATATTTGTTTCTGTATTGCTATTGATTCAAGAAGGCCTCTTTGGAATCACACGACACAGAAGGAAACCAATTAGCTCTATAGTGCTCATGACAGCTCACTGATTGAGTGATCGAATTAATCCCACTCCCAGACCCTTTCCAAATGGTTTTGCAAATGGTTTGTTTACAATAACATATCTAATTTCCTTGTGACAGTGTTATACAAAAGAAGCAAGGATGATGTAGAAATTTAAAAAAACTTTGTATAATGAGTATGGAATGCACTAGATGGAAATATAGCAGAGGCAACTTCCAATTGAGGCATTCAAGAGTGCATTGGAAATTATTTGGAAAGAAATGGGTGCAGAGATATGGAGTAAAGGCAGGAGATTGACACTAAGTAATAGAATCGGTGCAGGCATGATGGGCTGAATGGCTTTCTCCTTCAGTGTATCAATTGTGCAATTCTGTGAGTGCGTGATAAGGGCGGTGAATCTGTGCCTATTGTCATACATGATGTGGAGGGGCTGGAGCAACATTGGCACCTGCTAGCTCAAAGCGGAGAGGATCTCCAAGAAGATTGTACATATTGACACGGAGATGAAGTTCCTGCAGAGATGCAAGAAAACAGAAAATCCAGAAAGAGCTACAGATCGCGAACCCACTCAAGTCGATCTACAACACAGACTATGCTGAGAGACTACCATTGCAAACTCTTCAATCATTTCGGACACTAACTTTACAGCAGACGCTGCAACCTTGAAATCGAGATAGAGTCCACATTCTCAGCTTGTGTTCAGGCTACAATGGACTAGTTATGAGGCACTGCCAAGCAGACGAGGCAATGGAACTACGCCACCTACATGCACAGCAAGAACAAGGAAACTGGAGAAACTTGGCATCACCACCAGCAGTTACCAAACCTCTCCCAGTACCACAGTTGAAACCAGTACCACCACAGGGAAATCCATCATCAGCTTGTCTAACCACACCCTTCAAACAGAAGAAATTGAATTCTCAGGCAAGGACTCAATTTCTGCCCCACTACCAAAATTGTTCCTGTTTGGTCTCGTAGCAAACACAGAGGAATTCATCAGGTGAATGAGGCTCCGGGAATTCTTCTATAAACCCCAACATGTCAGCAGCAAAGCCAATGAGATAACCAACAAACTGGAACAGTTGACAGAGAGATCCGCAGTGCAGTGGCCAAAGAAGAACGAGTTGAATTGGATCCCTCTGGAAGGCTGCTGCCCTATTCTTGTTATGTATGCTCAAACCATCAGGAGATGCGTTAACACCAATTTATCAGCCACACTCATAAGATAGCTCAGAGCGTCACCCAGGCACAACACAACGCCATCTGTGATCTCAAGACCAATCGCAAAATTGTCATCAAACCAGTATATGAAGGAGGAGCTATCGTCATACAGAATAGAATGGACTACTGCAAAGAAGCATACTGACAACTGAACAACCGGGAGTAATACAGACAAGTACCTGCCAATACAACCAAAGAACACACCCGTTAACTGAACAGACCGATCAAGACCTTTGATCTAGACCTTCAGAGTATCCATGCATTCTCATCCAGCATACTTCTCGCATTGGAGACTTCTACTGCCTTCTGAAGATACACCTGGACATCCCATCATGTCAGGCAATGAGACCCTATGTGAGAACCTCTTTGGCTATGTCCACGGCATCTTGAAACCCATTGTACAAGGAAACCCCAGCTTCTGTTGTGACACTACAGATTTCTTACAGAAACTCAGCACCCATGGACTGACCAAACCAGGAACATTTCTCGTCACAATGGATGTTTCGGCATTCTACACCAGCATCCCCTACAATGATGGCATCACTGCAACAGCCTTAGTACTCAATACCAACAACTGCTGATTTCCAGATGCCATCCTACAACACATCTGCTTCACCTTTGACCACAATGTCTTAACCTTTGACCACCAGTTCCTTATCCAGACATATGAAACAGCCATAGGGACCAGACTTGCACCGCAATATTTTAACATTTTCATGCACAAGTTCGAGCACGACTTCTTTGCTGTGCAGCACCTCCGACCAATGCTATACACCAGATATGTTGGCGCCATTTTCTTCCTTTTGGACTCATGGTGAGGAATCACTGAAACAACTACATAGTGATATCAACAAGTTTCATCCCACCATCAGACTTGCCATGGTCTACTCTTCAGAATCAGTCTCATTCTTGGACACCCACAGCTTCGTCAAGAAATCTCAGTACCTCACTCTACCGCAAGCCCACGGATAACCTCACAATGCTGCACTTCTCTATCTTCCACCCTAAATATGTGAAAGAAGCCATCCCCTACGGACAAGCCTTGCATGTACACAGGATCTGCTCAGATGAGGAGGAATGCGATAGACACCTAAAGGTTTTGAAGGATGCCCATGTAAGAACGGGATACGATGCACAACTCATCAGTCACTAGTTCTAACATGCCACAGCGAAAAACTGCAATGATGTCCTCAGAAGACAGACACAAGATACAACCGAAAGAGTACCCTTTGTCATCCAGTACTTCCCCGGAGCGGAGAGACTACGCCATGTTCTTTGCAGCCTTCAACATGTTATCGATGACAATGAGCACCTCGCCAAGATCTTTCCTACGCCTCCAGCTCTCGCCTTCAAACAACTGCCAAACCTTAAACAGAGCATTGTTTGCAGCAAATTACCCGGCCTTCAGGACAACATCAACTGCAACACCACACAACCCTGCCATGGCAACCTCTGCAAGACATGTCAGATCATCGACATGGATACTACCATCACATGTGGGAACACCACCCACCACCTACACAGTAGATACTCATGTGGCTTGGCCAATCTTGTCTATCTCATATGTTGCAGGCAAGGATGCCCTAAAGTATGGTATATTTATGAGGCTATGCAGATGCTACGACAACAGATGAATGGACACCATGCAACAATGGCCAAATAGGAATGTTCACTCCCAGTTGGGGAACGCTTCAGTGGTCAAGGACATTCAGTCTCCAATCTTCAGGTAAGTGTCCTCCAAGGTGGCCTTCGAGATAGACAAGAATGCAGAACTGCTGAGCAGAAACTGATAACCAAGTTCTGTACCCATGAAGCAAGCCTCAACCGTGATCTTGGGTTCATGTCGCGCTACATGAGACCTCACGACACTTCTGTATCTGTAAAATCTTCCTTACTGTCCTGTTTTGATACGATCACCTTGATGAATGACTGGAACAGCATGATAGGTATAAGAGTCACATGGTGTCTCTACCTTATTTCGTTTGTACAGTTTTGGATTACTTATTACTTTGGTTAGAGCCTCAGCATGCGACTCTTATACCTGTCATGATATTCCAGTCATTTGGTTTGTCTCCAGCGCCATCTATTTTTAATTTTTTTGTAATTATCTCTTTGCCTCATTTACTCAGATTATAGGTCATCCCTTTGCTTGTTATTCAGCTGCTGACACCCTAGTCATGCCGTCTAACACTTTTGATCACCTGCAGAGACTTATTCTTCGACACTCCACTCACACCATTTATGTGATCTTTTGATCTCTTTGCCCTTCATCTCTCTGCCTATAAATTCTGTTTCTGTGTGCTTTTCTCTCACTTCACCTGATGAAGGGACTATGCTCCGAAAGCTTGTGATTTCAAATATGCCTGTTGGACTATAACCTGGTGTTGTGTGACTGTTGTCGTACACTTTGCATTCTAGGCAGTAGAAACGTATCTGTATTCCTTGTCCAACCTGTTCTTTTGCCAATAAACAATTAAAAACTAGGGTGAAGCAGACAGAAAATCCAAATTATGCTGTGAATGTTAAATGCATTGTATTGATGCACAGTAAGAAACAAAAAAAAGTAGGAGGGTTCACCAGGCTGCAAACCCATTGGACAGAAGATAAGCATTTAAACTTCCTAATTGTTGATGCCAGACCAAAACGTTCCAGAAGGAATCGAACTTCCCTCTCTCTGCACATTGCCTTGTATCTGTTTCAGAAGAAACCCATCAGAATTTAACCACTTATTCTCCAGGTAAGATTAGAGTGAACAAGATTTATATAAATAACTTCTTCCCAAGTACATTTATTTTTCTTTTAAATGATAATTACAGCTGCCAGTAACAACTGCAATCAACAAATGCATTGACAAAATGTGTTGTCTTAGCATTAATTATAATGATTAATTCTGATCATTCAGAAGCTTGAAAAAGTGATTGTTTTTTGATATACAAAGTGTGTGAGAATGAATTAAATTACTGGTCTGTTGAAGCTCAATGATTGCATCATGTCTATATTGATTTATCAAGAAAACACAAATTTACAGGAACTAAAATATTGCAAGACAATTCTTGTCTGTTATTGAAATATCAAATTGTATTATCCTGTCAGGGAACTTTTCCAATTATAACAGGGAATTTTTTTTTTATATTACTTTAAAGTGCTATGTCAAGACATCTTAAAACCTAATTCAGGCTATGTTTGCTTAATGGTTCAGATATTTTGAATTGTTCTATGGAATCTTGTTTGCCATTCAGAACTCCATTTCAGAGCGCTCACCAGTTCAGTGTTAAATCAGCCTGGTTGAAGTTTCCTCCACAGTGAAATGGCTTGCTGGCTCTCCAAAATCCATTATACTCATGTTGGGGACTTGCAAAAGCTGTGAGTGTACTGCCCAGAAACTTCAGTCAACTTCCTATAGCAGATCACCAAAAACAATTTGCAATTATATAGCACCTCTAACATAGAAGTATATTTCTAGATGCTTCAAAGTACTGTAATCAGGTGAAAATCAATAATAAGGCAAAAATGGTATTTTTGTAGGTTGACTAAACGTTTTACCTTCCAGTTTGGAACAATTGAGTTTGGACGTAATAAAGAGGTGGAAGTAAGTTTCAATAGCTTGTAGACTGAGGCAGAGGGAAAAGCAGACAATATTGCAGAGGTGCACGGAGGCGATCTTTGTAATGTAGAGATTACATGGTCAGAAGTTCAGTTAGGAATCATGTATGACTTCAAGTTGCAAGGAATATGACAGAGGCACCGAGTAGTGACTACATGTTATGGTTTCAGGCTTTGCAGCATTTATTGGATGCAAATCACTGTTATCTAGGGGTAGATTTTGGGCAAAGAGGTGGAAGCAGGAGAGTTGGTGACAGCTATGCTGCCAGCTCGACATGTGTATAGGTGGAACCTAATGTTCATGTTTTGCTGATGTTGCAGAGTAGCACCACCTAGGTGAGCAGTAAAAGGGGGTCAAACAAAGATCATTAGGTGGTTCTGGTACCAGTGTGTGAAATGAAGTCAGTGCTGGAGATTCATAGCAATGACCAGATCAGTAACAGAGGAGAAACATTGCAGGACGATGATGTAGCCGACTGAGTCAAAGGTTGAAGTAAAGTTGAGAATGGCTCATCATATAACTCCATCATTACTTTAAGTGGAAAGAATATCAAGTAAGTTCTATTCTTATCCTCCTTAATAAGTTTCACTCCACTCTGCTCTCAGTCTAGACAATATTTCATGCCCAGACAGTAGAGAAAAGCTCTACCCCATAATCACCAACATTAGGATCATAGAATAAGAATCACGGGTGAGAATGCTGACTGAGTTTTCTCCATCTTAAAAAGGGCATGGAGCGAGTAAATTATCATTGCTATTGGGTGGCACAAAAGAAAATTACTGTGGATGCTGGATATCTGAAATAACTAACAGAAAGTGCTGGAAATACTCAGCAGAACAGGCAGCGTCTGTGGAGGGAAACAGAGTCAATGTTTCATTTAATATGATCTTTCATCCAAACTAATGAAAGGCCATTTCAACATGAAGTATTAACTCTGTTTCTCTTCACAGATGTTGCCTGATCTGCCGAGTTTTTCCAGCATTATATTATCCTCACCTTGGATATCAGAAACTAACTCAGTGCATTCTGGAAGTTGAACTGAGGACTGGTTTAGTTTGCATGACTCAGTTGCACACAGAGCAGAACTTTTATCAAATGAGTTATTAATCAAGACTGGATACATAGAGGGCACTGAGAAAGATCTTTCTCATTTTTTTCTACAGATTAAACAAGCTTTGTTTTTAACTTCATTGTTCACATGATGACTTCTGAACAGGCCAACAAAATGAAAGAGAATCAAATGCAGGGAAGTCAGCAGGCAAGAATGCCAGACCTTCCATCGCGCTGCACCTGGAGCCTGGGGATGCCACCATCCAAATCTCCACACACTCAAGATGAGCTGTAGGTATTACATACGCTTAAGAGAAGTAGCTTCACAGCAACAAGGCCATGTGTCATTTAAATCATATAACAAATAGTTTTACTTTCTAAGTGTCAGACAAAGTCAAGTCCCTTTGTGTAGTAGAAGCTTTTTGGGGATCATATTCAGTGAATCCACTTATTTTTATTTGCATGCAATAGAGATTAACAAAGCGATTGTCTTTGTAGTATTAAAGTACAACTTCCCTCAGTATACATGCACAAGTGAAGGTCACAGAATTAGCTGTTCTGGTGTAATTCTCCGTTTGTTCAACTAGCTCCTCTGAGTAAGAATGTAATGAGTTATCAATATCGGTTTCACCAAGTGGAATCCTCACAAAATCTAACAGCGTATACACAATTGATTACAATTGATTGTAATCTAATCAAAGTCCTGTAAACATAAGGTAGTGTCAATTGAATGGTTTGTGGTCATTAACTGAAACCCAAAGGACTGGATTTAATGCTTGCTTGCCAGTGTATTTGAAGGTGGTGGGGCTTATTAAATCTAGTGGACAGCATAGCCACCTTCCTGCAAAAATGCCATTCCCTATTCCCAATTCCTTCGCCTCCGCCGCACTTGCTCCCAGGAGGAGGCATTCCACTCCCGTACATCTCAGATGTCCTCGTTTTTCAAGGACCGCAACTTCCCCTCCTCTGTGGTCGAGAACGCCCTCGACTGTGTCTCCCGCATTTCCGGCAACTCATCCCTCACACCCCGTCCCCGCAATAACAACCGAAAAAGAATGCCCCTCGTCCTCACGTACCACCCCACCAACCTCCGGATCCAACGCATCATCCTCCGACACTTGCGCCATCTGCAATCCGACCACACCACCAAAGACATTTTTCCCTCCCCACCCTTATCTACTTTCCAGAGGGATCATTCTCTCCATGACTCCCTTGTCCGCTCCACACTCCCCTCCAGCCCCACCACACCCGGCACTTTTCCCTGCAACCGCAGGAAGTGCTACACCTGCCCCCACACCTCCTCCCTCACCCCCATCTTAGGCCACAAGAAGACTTTCCACACCAAGCAGATGTTCACCTGCACATCAGCTAATGTGGTATACTGCATCCGCTGTACCCGTTGTGGCCTCCTCTACATCAGGGAAACCAAGCGGAGGCTTGGTGACCGCTTTGCACAACACCTACGCTCGGTTCGCAATAAACAACTGCACCTCTCAGTCGTGAACCATTTCAACTCCCGCTCCTCAGACGACATGTCCATCCTGGACCTTCTGCAGTGCCACAACGATGCCACCCGAAGGTTGCAGGAACAGCAACTCATATTCCGCTTGGGAACCCTGCAGCCCAATGGTATCAATGTGGATTTCACAAGCTTCAAAATCTCCCCTCCCCCTACCGCATCCCAAAACCAGCCCAGCTTGTCCCCGCCTCCCTAACCTGTTCTTCCTCCCACCTATCCCCTCCTCCCACCTCAAGCCGCACCCCCAGTTCCTACCTACTAACCTCATCCCGCCCCCTTGACCTGTCCGTCCTCCCTGGACTGACCTATCCCCTCCCTACCTCCCCACCTACACTCACCTTTACTGGCTCCATCCCTGCCTCTTTGACTTGTCCGTTTCCTCTCCACCTATCTTCTCCTCTATCCATCTTCTATCCGCCTCCCCCTCTCTCCCTATTTATTTGAGAACCCCCTTCCCCTCTCCCAATTCTGATGAAGGGTCTAGGCCCGAAACGTCAGCCTTCCTGCTCCTATGATGCTGTTTGGCCTGCTGTGTTCATCCAGCTCTACAACTTGTTGTCTCTAGCCACAATTAATGCCCACTTAAAGGCCTCATCCCACGATCGCTAGCACTTTACTGGCCACAGGAGTGGCCTATGCCAAGTTGCCAAACTGACGGTTTGATTTGGGCCTTTCAGAGGGCCCCATAAGGCTGAATCCGGTTGTCATCCCCACAAAAACCTTTCAAACCTTAGACTCCCAGTTCCTTCATTATAATCGCTCCTCACAAGGGCTTGCCAAATTGGCCTGATTAACAACTGCAAAAATTATCTCCACTCCTGATTCAGTGCCACACAGGTCTGTCTAAAGTGCTGGAGAGATCTCTAGGGCAGGACATCCTGACCCAAAAGTGCAGAAAATCTGCCTCCCAACATATGGTATTATTCAGCCCAATGAAACAGTGTATGATAATGAATTCATTACCTGTCCCATTTTCTTTTTAAAAATAGAACCTTTTCTTTATTTGCAGAATTGCCTCAGTTGTACATGGGAGGCATTGTTTTTTTTATTTATTCATTCATTCATGAAATACAGGCATCACTGATAGGGCCAACATTTATTGCCCATCCTCAGGGTCATCTTTAGTAAATGATGGCCAGTCTCTTTTATAAACTGCAGCATTTTGTATGATCAATGTGTATCCGTATTGCTGCTGGACAGGGAGTTCAAGGATTAAGGAATGGTAATACATGCCCAAGTTAGGAAGGTGAGTAACCTCAAGAGGAATTTGTAGTTAAGAGTATTTCCATGCGACTGCTGTACTTGCCTTTCTCAGTGGTATAGGTTACAGCCCTGGTAAAGTGGTCACGGTGAATTTCTGCAGTGCGTGTTGCACAGATGGCACCCGTTGTGGGTACAGTGCATCAATGGTGGAGGAAGTGAATGAAACTGATTGCTTTATCTTAGATCGTGTTGAGATTCTTGATTGCATTTGGGCCTGCATTCATCTAGGCGTGTGGGGACATTTCTCAATTCGTCATTTAAGCAACACTGTAGCTTCATTTTATAGCTCCCATAGCATTCTTTCTTTGGTTTTTACAGGCTACTTTTCAGGTTCATTGTAAATCAGAGATCAAACCTGCACCTTGACTAAATAGCACACTAAGTGCTGTATTTAATTTTGGACACAAGCACAGTTGTATTTAAATGGTATCAAAGCATTCTGTTACATTCTGCATCTTTGTTCTTTTACAGAAAGGATTCATCCAAGATCTTGCCTAACGTCCTCTATAAAATTGGTAACACTCCCCTCATCCGAATTAACAATATTGCGAAAGAATATGGACTTAAATGTGAGCTATGTAAGTAATATCGAGTGAAATCTCATTATGTTTTCATCCCAGATAAATGAGCTCAAGTTTTTGGATATACCTGGAGCTTCCAAAATATTATTTTGTGTAGTTGTAGTAGACAAAGACAAAACACAAAGGGGAGTCTAGTGCTGTATTTCAGCTTTTTAGGGTTGTGTTGCAATCATTCTGTTCTAGCATCGATTATTGGTACGTTCTGAGTCACTGTATAACAAGGAAGAAAAATTATATTATATTCAGATCAAAACTTGAAGGTTACACTCCAATGGTGGTCTAATGAGGAAAGGCTTTTGTCTTAAACAAAATGTAATTTATTTGTAATTTTTTTGTCAGTAAATTTCAAATGAAAATGCATCTTTAATGTCAATGTTCCATAAAACGAAAGCTTAACTAAATTTATTTTACTAACCTTTAGAATATTAATTGCAATCTTTTACATAAAGTGTCTGTCACCTAATATGAACATTACCTCACACTGATATTTTTGGCAGAATAGTGAAAATGGTCAGACAAGATTTTAAAAATTCATTCTTCAGATGTAAGGGTCACTGGGAAGTGTTGCCAACATTAATTGGAAAGGAGATGTCAACGTTTCGGGTATTGCCTTTCTTCAGGACTGGATGTGGGGATAAGGGGTAGCTGCAGGTAAAGAGAGGTGGGGGGTGGGATGTAGCAGAATGGTGGTGATAGGTGGACATCAGTAGTAAGTATGACCTGGTTGGATGACGGGAAGGATGAATCAGTTGGTAGCTGGAAGGGAGGGTCAGTAGGTGGAATGCAAGGGAGGAAGTGGGGTTGAACAGATTGTTCAGCCTCAGAGAGTTCGAGGTCAGGTACCAGCATACCTCTCCCTCTTCTGTCCACCTCCCCTCCCTCCTCTCTCCCTCATCTCTCCTACACCCCTCCCCCCAGCCAATCGTCCATCCACCTCCCCAGCCCACTACCCTCCCACTCTCCTTACCCTCCCACAACTACTGCCCACCACCACACTGTAAAAGATGCAACACCTGTCCACACACCACCTCCCTCACCTCCATCTAGAGCCCTAAACAGACCTTCCAGGTGAGACAGAGTTTCACCCAAATCTCCTTCAACTTAGTCTATTGCATCCGGTGTTCCTAATGTGATCTTCTCTACATAGGTGAGACTAAACATAGATTAAGTGACTGTTTTGCCGAGCAGTCTAATAACCAGCCCAACCTCCTGGTCACCACCTATTTGAACTCCCCCAGCCCCCTGACATGTCCGTCCTCGGCCTCCTCCAGTGTCGCAACAATTCAGAACACAAATTTGAGGAACAACACCTTATCTTCCACCTGGGCATCCAACTGCCCAGAGGACTCAACATTGAGTTCTCCAGTTTCAAATAACCTTCCAACCCCTTCCCCAGCTCCCTATCCAACCCCACCTCCTCCCTTCCATTCCACCTACTGACCTTCCCTTCCAGCTACTGACCAGATTTATCCCTCCCATCAACCAGCCAGGTCGTAATGATTACAAGTGTCCACTATCACCACCATTCTGCTACCCCCCTCCCCTCCCTTTATCTTCAGCTGCCCCTACTGACACATCTAGTCCTGAAGAAGGGTAATACCCGAAACATTGACTTTTCCTCTCCTCTAGATGCTGCCTAGCTTGCTGTGTTCTTCCAGCTTCCTGTTTGTCTACCATTGATTCCAGCATCTGCAGTTTATTTGTCTCTTGCCAACATTAATTGCCCATATCTAATTGCCCTTGAAAAAGTGCAGTTAATAGTTTTCTTGAATAGATTCAGTCCAAAAGATGTAGGTACATCTGTAATATTGTTAGAGAAGGAGTTCTGAGCTTTCAAACAGTGAAGGAATGCTTTTTTCCACTTGGTCATTGGATGTGGGCTTTGCTGATTAGGCCAGCATTTATTGCACACCCTTAATGGGCTTCGCATATGTGCTACTTAACTGCCTTTTTGACCTGCTGCAGTCCTAGACGTATAGGATACAGAAAATGCTGTTAGGAAGGGAGTTCCAGTTCATGACGGTGAGTAACATGGGGGGAAACATGTAGGTGGCAGCATTTCCAAGTATCTGTTGCCCTTTAGGTGGTAGAGTTTGTGAGTTTGGAAGATGCTGTGAAAGGAGATTTGACTTCTTTTATTTTTTTTATTCATTCATGGGATGAGGGCATTGCTGGCTAGGCAGCATTTATTGCCCATCTCTAATTGCTCAGAGGGCAGTTAAGAGTCAACCACATTGCTGTGGATCTGGAGTCACATGTAGTCCAGATCAGGTAAGGATGGCAGTTTCCTTCCCTAAAGGACATTTGTGAACCAGATGGGTTTTCCTGACAATCGACAATGGATTCATGGTCATGATTAGATTTTTAATTCCAGATATTTATTGAATTCAAATTCCACCATCTAGTATAGCGAAATTCGAACCTAGGTCCCTGGAACATTAACTGCGTCCCTGGATTAACAGTCCAGTGATAATACCACTAGGCCATCACCTCTCCAACTTGGTGAGTTGCTGCAATGTATTGTGCAGATGTCATACATTGCTACCAAAGTGTTTTGTATGTTGTGATGGTGCCAATAATTTGTCCTCAATCAAGTTTCTTGATTGTTGTTGAGACTGTAGACGCGCAGGCAAGTTGAGAATACTCCATTGCATTGCTGAATCATGCCCACTAGAAAGTTCCTCAAATTCGCGTTCTGAGGAGGCCAAGGACAGACATTTTAGGGGGGTAGAGGAGTTGAAATAGTCGGTGAGCAGGATGTTGGGCTGGTCATTAGACTGCTCAGCAAAACAGTCACCTAGTCTACGTTTGCTCAAATTGTTGTATGAGCTCTCTGTGCTATTGCTCCAGATAAAGTAAATTTAGTGCCACCATCCTCTTTCAGCTAGGGGATCTGCAGGATCTGCCTCGTCTAGTGATGTAGAGGAAAATAACTTGCTAGTCTAATAAGACTACATGTGACTCCAGATCCACAGCAATGTGGTTGACTCTTAACTGCCCTCTGAGCAATTAGAGATGGGCAACAAATGCTGCCTAGCCAGCAATGCCCTCATCCCATGAATGAATAAAAAAAAAAAAGAAGTCAAATCTCCTTTCACAGCATCTTCCAAACTCACAAACTCTACCACCTAATAAGGGGTCACACATTTAAAACAGATGAGGAGGAATTTCTTCTCTCTGAGGGCTGTGAAATGGTGGAACTCTGCAGTCAACCGGTGAGGCTGTTCATTAAGTCATAAAGAAGATGTTGTTTATTACATGATATTAATCAGGTATATTTCATAGGGCATGAAATATAAAAATAGTGAGATGTTGCTAAAGCTGTACAAGGCACTAGTCGGACGACAGCTGGAAAACTGAACGGTTTTGAGCCCCTTAGCTAAGGAAAGGTGCACTGGCATTGGAGTCAGTTCAAAGAATTCAGGGTTTGAGTGAAGATTTGTAGCTTGGGTGTTGGTTATAGATGTTGGTGTGCTCGCCGAGCTCGATGAACACACCAACATCTAGAGTTCAAAGAATGTTCGTTTTCCTAATACCAGATATGGAAGGGATTGTCTTATGAGGAGATGCTGCATAGATTGGGCCTGCTCTCATTGGAATATAGAAGAATGGTAAGTGATCTTGTTAAAACATAAAAGATTCTTAGAGGAGTCGACAGGGTAGATGTGAAAAGATTGTTTCCTCTTGTGGGAGAATCTAGGACTAGATGACATAATTTCAGAATAAGGGGTCACACATTTAAAACAGATGAGGAGGAATTTCTTCTCTCTGAGGGCTGTGAAATGGTGGAACTCTGCAGTCAACCGATGAGGCTGTTCATTAAGTATATTCAAGGCATTATTTTTGAAGGATATCATGGGTTATAGGGAAGAGGCAGGAAAATGGAGTTGAGGGTTTTCAGATCAGTCATGATCTCACTGAATGGCAGAACAGACTCAATTTGAACAGTAGAGATAGCTTCATAATAGGGTGCACTGGGATTTTAATATTGTTTGCCTGGCAATTTTTAAAAAAAACATCATGCACAGGATTTGATTGTTGCTGGCAAGGTCAGCATTTATTGCCCAGAGGGCAGTTAAGAGTCAACCACATTATTGTGGGTCTGGAGTCACATGTAGGCCAGACCAGCAGTTGTCAAATAGTGAGGACAAATGACGTTAGTGAATCAGAATGACTTTCCCCTCAACAACTGGCAATGGTATCATGGCATTATTAGACTCTCAATTCCAGACTTTTAAAACAAAAAGTGTGTTCAAATTCCACCATGTGCCATGACAGGGTTTGAAACCAGGTCTCCGTAATGTTACCTGGGTCTCTGGGTTAATAGCCTAGTGAGAAAAGCACTAGGCTAGCACCTGGGCTGTTTTAGGTTACGTTAGAAAATATTTCAAAACAAGATTTTTCTTAAAAATAACATTACTACCACCACCTCCCACTCTGTAATTTGATACTAACTCAAAATATTGTGCTATTTTTTATTTGCATTTACATTTTTAAAAAAAATCTTTGTACTAGACATATATATAGATATAAGATCAGAAATGAATAACTAGAAGCATAACTTTGCTAAGGCTACTTTTTGAACATCTTTTCTAGTGGCAAAGTGTGAGTTCTTCAGTGCTGGTGGAAGCATTAAGGACCGCATTGCTTTACGGATGATTGAAGATGCTGAGAAACAAGGGGTTCTGAATTCAGGTGATGTCATCATTGAACCAACCTCTGGTAACACAGGTAAGAATTGTTAAAGTATTAGTTGAAAAAATTGAGACTAAGTGGGTTATCGCAAAAAGGAAGTCTGTGATGCCCGTTAGGAAGTTCCAGAATAAGCATCAGTGATGTATCCAGATTCTATCCTATTCTCTGGATGTTCTGCTGAACTACAAGGATTCACCAGAAGCCTAACAACTTGTTGGAGCAAGTGGAATAGCAATTAATACGTGTTGTGCCTGCTTCCTGAGAGTAAAATTGGTCCAAAGCACACCATAATGGCCTTCCTCAATCTTTACCCACTTAGTCCATTTGTTAAATTCATGGAGACCATTTTGCACCCAGCGTGAGCAACAAACTTCTCTAACATTCAATGGGTTAAGTATGCCCTTTGTTGAAACATCATGCTTCTAAACTTTAAAACACAACAGTCAAAGTAACCTGTTCGAAATCATTGCTGCAGAAATGTGTTAAATGAGCCCAAAACGTGATGCTTACAAACTCATTGCACACTGACCCCTGTGCTTCAACATTAGCCCAGTTTCTGGAATGCATGCCAAGTGAACTGAAATTACAGATTCAATAAAAATAAGACAGTAACTGGAATAGGAACCATCAGTCATCATTTCAAATGTGCAATATTTCAACTTTGCAATTAGCTTCCATCCTATGCCATTCAATACTATTGCCAGAATGGAATGTCATTGGTAAAGAAAATTTTGTATTATTACTTTGATTAGAGATCTAAGATTGTGAATGCACACATTTGCATTACATATTAAATGTTGTTATCAGCATTGAATTTTGTGGCAAATTTCTCCATAGTTAATGAGCTATGCACTTAACTGGAAAGTATGAGAAGGGCAGAACTGATCAGATATACATGCGGTGATAGACTTTTGACTTTCAATAGGACCTATTTACTTGATGAAGTAATGTTTGTGTTATGTCCTATAGCATAAGAACAAGTAACATTTTCAACTTTCAGGAAACAGAAAGATTCAATACACATTCTTACAGCCCTGGTCTCTGAGTATATTACAATCATAGGCACCACTATGTTTAGGCTAGCACTGTGGAATTTGATTACAAACCGTTGCAAGCTTTCCTCAGCATGCCGTGCTGCATGTGGCCTCAGTAAGATGGAGTCTGAGACCTTTCTACCATTATGTTACATGCCATGATTCAGTGGTGATTTCATGACTCTTAAAGGCATATTGCATACTCGCTGTGAGATATAAAACTGTAGTTTCCACCATCCTTGTGCAAATCAGTTATAGAAAAAAAAAGGCATTAACATTCTAGCAGGTAAGTCATTAGATTAGAACGATTAATCATTTTTGATGTTGAGTGTTGTCACTTGACCATAAAGTGATTGAAGTTATTGTCATCATTTCATATTATCACAGGCATTGGTTTGGGCTTGGTGGCTGCTGTGAAAGGATATCGTTGCATTATTGTCATGCCAGAGAAGATGAGCTTAGAGAAGGTAAACATAACATTAAGAATCCTTGATTCTGAGAGAAAGCAATGTCTTGATTCAGAAATAACCCACAATAGGACTTCATTTTATTCCAGCTGCTGCTGCTAGTCAATTAGTTCCTGCCCATATCGACCCTTGGTTTATATGATGACCATCTGAAAATGGCTTTCTGTCATTAAAGATGACTATGGACATTTTTGCCTCCGGCAGGATATTTTATCTGATTTGGTAATGCTCATTTATGTCTCAACCTTGGAGACTAGGTATGGATATTATGGTATTAAAATTTTCCAAAAAGATGTTAATTGCCAGCTAGCAATTCCATACAAGCATTATATTCACAGGTATGTCCAGTGTTTGGATTAACACTAGGCTATTATATTGCAATGGTACAGCATATTTTCAATTAATCCCAGGGTAAGATGGAACTTAAGAAGTTTATATTCCCCACCTCACATGCCATGACATCAGCAGCATGTCTCTTAAAGGTATACTGACATCCTGATTGTGAGACATTATAAAGCAGTCATCCCCTTAATAACTACAGAGACAGTGAGAATACAGAACAGTGTTTTTTTTTACTATACTGTAGATATAGGAACTCCCTTTTTATCTGCACAGTGAAAGGAATTATTTTTATTTTACTTATTTTCATTCTTTCACAAAATGTGGGCACTGCTGGTTAGATCAACACTAATTGGCTATTTTATACACATTCCTTCATTAATATTCTGATATATGCTATGCTGGCTGCATATTCTATAGGGCATTACAGTTGGGTAGGCAGATACAATCCTTTCTTCTTAAATACTGTCTTTTTTTTGCCTTTGCACCACTCTCTGCTTCCGTGTCACTACGATCATAATATAGAAGGGAACATCATTCATCCACAGAAGACTCCCTCACACTGACAGAGGCGGAAAGAGATAAAAATCAACTAGTGGTCTTATTCTGTCAGCAGCGGTGAGGACCACTGCCCAAACTGTGCAGGCAATGTGGCAGATTAGAAATGTTTGCAAGAGCAAAATCTTTAGCTACGGAAACAGCAAGTAGAATTACGCAACATTTTCTGAGCATCAAAATCCACTATTGACGTTCAGTAGCAGCAGTGTGTACTATCTACCAGATGCACTGCAGAAATTCACCAAAAATCCTTAGACTATACAATCCAAAACCAGGACCACTACCATCTAGAAGGTCAAGGATAGAAGATACGTTTGAAAACCTACTGATGAGAGATTAATCAAATTTCTTGCCAGGCTGTAGTGAGTTGCCAAGTAAGTGGGATTCTAGCTTGTTAAACACGTTATTAATGTCACAACTCACCACATTAATATTTAGCTTCCTATCTTACAAATGCGCTAACAAACTAGATGCTGAGAAATTTCGACATGGAAATCGGAGCAGATACCTGGCGATTTCAGCTCACCAGTTGCTCCAAAGGATTTACATGTTGCTTAGGGTCAAACAGTATCTCTGAGCATGATCCACAGGTACTAACTCCAGTTCTCTGGATGATAATACAATGAAGAAATGATCAAGGTGGATGAAGTTTGCTTCCATGTTATGTTGTGCGGGATCCCTGCAGTAAAAGTGCAGGATCTCACTTGTGCTGGATATTAGGATGTTGAAGGCATAAGTAAGTGAAACATGCATGTGCATTTAAAAACTCCAGCTACTTTTCGTTAGCAAACATTTCTTCTCACATACGTAGAGTGAGCATGATTATGTGTTAAATGTTAGTCAAAGGCAGATTTCACCATGCCATTGGTGTTAGCCAAAATCATATTGCCATTTCAGTGACTCAGAAGTTAATGGCTTTAACTGTTTTTTTTTAAATTTATTCACTCATGGAATATGTGCATCACTGGCCAATCAGTAATTATTGCCCATTCCTAGTTGCCATTGAGAACATGATGGCAAACTGCCCTCTTGAACCATTAAGGAGGGAATTCCAGAAATTTCACCCAGTTGAGTGATATATTTACAAGTCAGGATACTGAGTCATTTGGAGGGGCACTTGAAGATGGTGGTGTTTCCATTTATCTGCTGTCCTTGTCTTTCTAGATGGAAGGGATCGTGGGTTTGGAAGGTGTTGTCTGAAGATCTTTGGTGAAATACTGCAGTGCATCTTGTAGGTAGTACACACTTCAGTTATTGAGCATCTCTGGTGGAGTGGATGTTTTGGATGTGGTGCCAATCAGGATGTCTTTGCAGAAGTTCCTCAGGTTAGTGACCTAAGCCCAACCATCTTCAGTTGCTTCATCAATGACCTTCCGGCCATCATAAGATTAGAAGTGAGGTTGTTTTGTCCTGGATAGTGTCAAACTTCTTGAGTGTTGTTGGAGCTGCACCCATCCAAGCAATTGGGGATTATTCCATCACATTCTTCACCTCTGCCTTGGAGATTGTACACAGGCTTTGGGAAGTCAGGAGGTGAGTTACCTGCTGCAGTATTCCTAGTCTCTGACCTGATCTTGTAGCCACTGTGTTGAGGTGGTGAGTACAGTTGAGATTCTGTTCAATGATAACCCCCAGGCTGTTGATAGTGGGGTTTCAGTGATGGTTACACCATTGAATGTCAGGGTGGTTAGATTGTCTCTTTTTTGAGAAGGTCATTGCCTGCCATTTTTGTGGTGTGAATATTACTTGTCACTTGTCAAACCAAACTGGATATTGTCCAGATCTTGCTGTATTTGAACATGGACTGCTTCAGTATCTGAGGAGTTATGAGTGGTGCTGAACATTGCGCAATTGTCCGCAAACAACCTCATTTCTAATCTTATGATGGACAGAAGGTCATTGATGAAGCAGCCGAACATGGTTGGGCTTAGGGCACTAACCTGAGGAACTTCTGCAAAGACATCCTGGAGCTGGGATGACTGACTTCCAACAGCCACAATCATCTTCCTGTGTGCGAGGTATGATTAGATTTGACTTGATTCATTATTGTCACATGTACCTAGGTACAGTGAACAGTTTTGTTTTACGTACAGTACAGGTAGATCATACCATACAAAGTACATAAGGGTAGTAGAACAAAGCTAGGAGTACAATGTTACAGCTACAGAGAAGGTGCACAAAGAGTGAGGTCAACATTAAATTTGAAATTTGAGAGATCCATTCAGAAATCTAATAACAGCAGGGAAGAAGCTGTTCTTGAATCTGTTGGTTCTTGCGTTTAAGCTTTTGTATCTTCTGCCCAAGAGTTTGGAAGAAATTATAACCGGGATGAGAGGGATCTTTGATTATGTAAGCTGTCTTTCGGAGGAAGCAAGAAGTGTGGATGGAGTTATTGGATGGAAGGTTGGTTTGCGTGATGGACTGTGTTCACAACTCTATAATGTCTTATGGCCCTGAGCAGAGCAGTTGCCATACCAATCCATGATGTATCCGGATAGAATGCTTTCTATGGTGCATCTATAAAAGTTGATAAGTCTTTACGGACATGATGAATTTCCTTAACCTCGTGAGAAAGTAGAAGCATTGTTGTGGTTTCTTGACCATTGCATCAATGTGGATGGACCAGGACAGATTATTGGTGGTTGTCACTCCTAGGAACTTGATGCTTTCAGCTATCACCACCTCAGCTCTATTGATGTAAATAGGGGCATGCCCTTCACCTTGCTCTCTGAAGTCAATCTCCAGCTCTTTAACTTTGCTGACTTAAGGGAGAGATTGTTATCTTTTCACCATACCACCAAGCACTTTATCTCTTTCCTGTATTCTGTCTCATCATTGTTTGAGATGTGGCCTACAACGCTGTTGTCATCAGTGAACTTGGAGATAGAGCTCGGACAAAATTTGGTCACACAATCTTGAGTGTACAGTGAATATGGTAAAGGGCTGGGTACACAGCCTTGTGGGACACTGGTATTGAGGATTGTTGTGGAGGAAATGCTGTAGCTTACTCTCACTGATTGCGGCTGTGGGTCAGGAAGTCAAGGATCCAGTTGCAGAGGTTGGAGCTGAGACCTAGGTCTCAGAGTTTGGAGACTAGTTTGGTTGAAATTATAGTGTTGAAGGTGGAACTGTAGTCAGAGTTGGAGCCTGACATAGGTATCCTTGTTCTCCAGATGTTCTAAGGATGAGTGTAGGGCCAGGAATGTGGCATCTGTCATGAACCTGTTGTAATAGTAGGTGAATTGCAAGGGATCAAGGCAGGCTGGAAGGCTAGAGTTGATGAGAGCCCTGACTAACCTCTTGAATCACTTCATAATTATGGAGATCGTATGGTATTGCCTCTCAGTATCTCTAATGGCCTTACGGAGGTCATATGACTCCAACCAGCAGAGAGATTGCCCCCTTGTTACCCTTTGATTCTAGTTTTGCTAGGGGTCTTTGATGCCACACTAGGTTGAATACAGTCCTGATATCGAGGGCTGTCACCATTTCCACTTTGAAATTCCACACTTTTGTCCATGTTTGAACCAAGGGTGTAATGAAGTCAGGAGTTGAGTGACCCTGTTGGAACAAACTGGGCACCACTGAGCAGGTTATTGCTGAGCAGGTATTCCATGATAGCACTGTTGATGACACCTTCCATCACTTTACTGATGATTGAGGGTGGATTGATGGGGTGATAATTTGTCTTGCTTTTTGTGTGCAAGACATACCTGGCAATTTTACACATTGTTAGGTAGATGTCACTGTTCTAACTGTACTGGAACAGGTTGGCCAGGGGAGCGGCAAGTTCTGAAGCACAAGTTTTCAGTACTATTACTGAATGATGTCAGGACCCAAAGCCTTTGCAGTATCGAGTGCCTCCAACCATTTCATCGGCCAAAAAGGGCTAATGAAATTGGAAGAAATTTATCTTGAGATGGTAAGCCAGCAGTATTTTCCTGCCCCATTGTAATGCCTAAAGTGAATATTTGCTCTAATTAGACACTGCCATTTTTGTGAGGTGTCAATGTATTTCTTGTCTATTAATGCATTTTGGAATATGCAGAAGCAGTGTTCTTCCCAAATTTTAGCTGTTATTTTTAAAAGTTGCATTGATTATCAATAATTTCCAATCTTTTTTCCCCTTTTTGTTACAGGTCAATGTGTTAAAAGCCTTGGGAGCTGAAGTGGTGAGGACACCAAATGCTGCAAACCTCAACAGCCCTGACTCTCATATTGCAATGGCCTGGAAACTGAAGAATGAGATTCCAAACTCCCATGTGTTTGATCAGGTAAAATCACTTGTCAATATAAATGTAAATTATGTAAATTTGTTGCATTTGTCACACTACATGAAAATATTGCACAATATATATTTTTAAAAAGTGCATTTAGCTCAAATTCAATTCCCTCCATGAGTGTGCAGAATGGTGGCAGTGGAAGTCTTGAGGGATCAAGCTAATTAACTTCAAATGAAGAGTTGTGAAAATTTCAAACAACTTCAACTAGATCTTTGGAATTTTCTCAAGAACTTGTAGGACTTGTCTATAAATCTGTTGCTTTACTTTAAATGGAAACATAATGCCAATATTTATTTTATCCTCAGTATCAAAATGCTAGCAATCCATTAGCTCATTACGACATCACAGCAGAAGAAATTCTGGATCAATGTGATGGTAAGTCATCCTTCAGAGGAGCTATTCTTGATTTGCTTAAAAACACATGAAGCACAGGCTGTGCTTGTGAAATTGTGGGTGTAATATTTACTGAACAAGTTTCACAATGAGAAAATATTCCAGTTTTGAATAAAAAATGTAAATTATCATGTAGTTACTGAGTCATAGAGTCATACAGCACAGAAAAAAATCCTTTGATCCAACCAGTCCATGCCAAACGTAATCCTAAACTAAACTAGTCCCACCTACCTACTCCTGGCCCATATCCCTCAAAATGTTTCCTATTCATGTGCCTTTCTAAATGTCTTTTATATGTTGTAATTGTACCTGCACCCTTCACTTCCTCAGGAGGTTCATTCCACATGTGCATCATCCTCTGCGTAAAACATGTGCCCCTCATGTATTTTTTAAATCTCCCTCCTCTCACCTTAAATATATGCCCCCTAGTCTTGAAATCCCCCATACTAGGGAAAAGACAACTCCCATTAACTCTATCTATACCTCTCATTATTTTATAAATTTCTTTCAGGTTGCCTCTCAACCTCCTGGGCTCCAGTGAAAAAGGCCCCAGCCTATCCAGCCTTTCTTTATAACTCAAACCTTCCATACCCAGCAATATCCTAGTAAATCTCTTCTGAACCCTCTCCAGCTTGATAAAATCGATAGAGGTCTTTACACCCCTTCTATCATTAAACCTGAGTTTGGTTGTAATTTGGGATGAAGTTGCAGGAGTGATCAGATGTTTCAGTTGTGCACAGGTTTCTTATTTTCTAAACTTGCATTCAGCTGGAAGTTTCACATTTTGAAAATACCTTTACAGGGCAGGGGAGCTTCTGTCCAGGCCAGGGTTCATTGCTTATCCCTAAATATCCTGAAGAAAGTGGCAGTGATCTGCCTTCATAAACTTCTGCAGTCTTGAAGTGGAAGGAGACACAATCTGTTGTTGAATTGTTCCAGGATCTTGACTCAACTACAGTGAAGGAGCAGTATTCCATCTCCACATTGTCAGTGAGGGCTGGGTGCAGACTGCAGGTCTCCCATGTATCTGCTAGAGGTCTTGGATTTGGAAGGTGTTGTTGCAAGAGCCTTGGTATGTTACTGCAATACATCTTATAGATGTTGCGCACTGTTGTCATTGTGCAAGGCAGTACAGGGAAGTCTTGGAGGTGATAGATAGGATGACAATCCAGCGGGCTGCTTGACCCTGGATGCTGGCAACAATCTTGAACAGAATGCTTTAATTTTGTGCCTTAACATTCTTCCTTTGACTGTGGTAGGTAGTTACACACCAAAATTGCATTTCACCTTCCAGATGTCATCAATAGTGCTATCAAGTAACACCAGCTCAGCAATAAACTTCTCAAGGAGGTCCAGTTTGGATTCTGCCAGGGCCACTCAGCTCTTGACCTCATTACAGCCTTGGTCCAAACAGAGGTGAGGTGAGAGTGACAGCACTTGATATCAGTGCAGTATTTGACTGAGTCTAAGGTTTTGGAGTAGATCTGTAGCTCGGGTTGTGGGTGTTGAGGTTGGTTGGCTCGCCAAGCTGGTTTGTTGTTCCACAGACGTTTCGTTACCGTGCGTGGTAACATCCTCAGTGCAGCCTCTGATGAAGCGTCAGTGTGTTTTCCCGCCTGGTTTTTAAACTCTGGGGTCCGTTGCGAGAGATTGCCTCACTTCTGGGTTTCCTCCATAGTGGAATGTATATGGCGTCGAGTTCAATGTGTTTATTAATAACATGCTTCGTGTAGTGCCATGCTTCCAGGAATTCTCGTGCTTGTCTCTGCCTAGCCTGTCCCAGGATCTTGGTGTTGTCCCAGTCAAAGTCGTGGTTCTCCTTGTCCATGTGGATTGAGATGAGTGAGTGATGGACAAGGAGAACCATGACTTTGACTGGGACAACACCAAGATCCTGGGACAGGCTAGGCAGGGACAAGCACGAGAATTCCTGGAAACATGGCACTCCACGAAGCATGCTATTAATAAACACATTGAACTTGACCCCATATACATTCCACTATGGAGGCAATCCATCTCAACGGACCCCAGAGTTTAAAAACCAGGCAGGAAAACACACTGACGCTTCAACAGAGGCTGCACCGAGGATGTTACCATGCACGGTAACGAAACGTCTGTGGAACAACAAACCAGCTCGGCGAGCCAACCAACCTCAATTTGACTGAGTTCCTCAAGGAGACCTGGAAAAACTAGAATCAATGAATATCAAGGGAGCAAACTCTCTGCTGATTGGAGTCATACCTGGTACTCGGGAAGATGATTGCGGTTGGTGTAGGTCAGCTATCTCTGCTCCAGGACATCCCTGCAGAAGTTTGTCAGGGTACTGTCATATTCCCAACCATCTTCAGCTGCTTCATCAATGATCTTCCATCCATCACAAGGTCAGAAGTGGGGATGTTCACTGATGATTACAGTGTCCAGCACCCATTCACAATTCCTGAGATGCTGAAGCAGTCATTTTCAAATGCAACAAGGCCTGGGATGACAACTGGCAAGCAACATTTGCACATCACAAATGCCATACTATGACCATCTCCAATCGGAGACAACCTAACCATTTCTGTTTGTCTTGTATTTTTGAATACCTTCTTTGATGTTTCCCATCTCCATCTTTTTCAAATTTAAGCAAATCAAACCAAAACTGGACCAAAAACAAAAGAACTGCGGATGCTGGAAATCGGAAACAAAATCAGAAATTTCTGGAAAAACTCAGCAGGTCTGGTAGCATCTGTGGAGAGAAAGCTGAGTTAACACTTCAGGTCCAGTGACCCTTCTTCAGAATTGAAGAACTAGACAGCCTGAAACTTAACCCATTTATTTATTAACTAGTCTTTGCTTTGCACTTTGTTTCCATATCATCAGCTTAAAGACCTTGACTTCATATTTAAGGCATCACTTAAGAATAGGCTCCAACCTATCTACTCTAGCCATAAATTCCCGTCCAAACCCTCTATTCCTTTCAGTCTGGTGATCCTCCATCCTCTCTAATCCACCAATGAAAGATTACCAGCATCCATACCTCAGTCTCTAGAACTCTCTTCCAAAGTCATTTTGCTTTTCTGCCTTGCTTCATACTTCTAAATAGTCTTCCAACAACTGATCATGAATCATGATTTTTCCTCGTTCTTACCCTTTACTTCTTGTTGATAACCTACCAAATGTTTACAGGGCATAAATTATTTAAGGTAATGCAGTTGGATTTTTCTCTCCATGCATTACCTGTCATTGTTAGTATAAATCAAGTTACTTTGTAACAATATAGAAATCTAACCTTGCTAAGGATGACTGTTTGTTGATGAGCTAAGAGTGAATAATCTTGTACCTAACTTCATTTTCAAGCTGCAACACAATACTGAAAAAAAAACAGAAAGGTACATTTCTAATGGTATATTTGGTTTATCTGTATTTCAATCATTTGTGAGTAAGCTTTTGTTTTGTTTAATTTCCACAGGACAAGTTGATGTTGTGGTGATGGGTGCTGGAACTGGCGGTACCATCACAGGCATAGCACGAAAATTCAAGGAAAAATGTCCCAACTGTAAGGTATTTCATCTTATATGAAATAAATAAATGGTAATGAGTAAAACTTTTGCACTAATATTGAAGTGTCCTTCAAGATGAAAGGGATATTTGAAAAATGGCAACTTCTTCTTGACTTGGCAGCATAAAGGTAATAGTGCTGATTTAATTAAAGTTCAACTCTGCTTGTCAATGAACTGCAAATAGTAATGTTTGAGCAAACACTTAGATCTTTTGAGGAACTGAAACTACCAATCTGGTAAAAGTTATGCATGAATGCAAGCCAGTTAATTTTCACTTTTGGGGATTTAAGTCCCTTGTATTTTATGCTCAAAAGTAAGATGGCAAATATACTAGAAAGATGAAACCCACTTGTACGTATTTTGTTGCCGGTGGGCGTTTTGAGGGGGATTCTGATGCTGCTTGGCCTGCTGTGTTCATCCAGTTCTACACCTTGTTATCTCTGATTTTGTTGGGTTTTTTTTATTACACTTGCCGACTATAGGCAGTTGACAATATGTAGCAATTTTCTGAGATTATTGAGAAGCATCAGCTTAGATATGATACGTTAGTTAATTAGGCAACAAAAGGAAATATAAGAACTGTGACTGATGAGAATAGTTAATGAATTCTGAAGCCTTTCTGTAAAATGAAAGAGTAGAGGCAGTTCTCTCTCCTGTCCCAGATGTTTTGTAACAACACAGTGTGAAGCTGATTCCCCAAACGTCAGCTTTCCTGCTCCTCTGATGCTGCCTAACCTGTTGTGTTCCTCCAGCTCCACACTGTGTTGTTTCTGACTCCAGCATCTGCAGTCCTTGCTATCTCCAGATGTTTTGTAGTCTTTTGTGGCAGTCTTTAATAGTAACTGACTTCGCTCTTTCCCCCAGCTGATGTGGGGGTTCTCCTGGTCTTCCCCAGATTGATGGTGGCTCAGTCCCCTGGATCTCATGCTCAAACCCATCTCTCCCCACCTATCCCTATTGATATACCTTCAGTTTGGAGGCTGATCATTTCTATCATGTCAATTACGTGCCTAAAGTCTTTTACCCAATGATCATGTGCAGCTACTCATGATGACAGGATGACTATTTGCCCACCTCCATTTGAAGGTTATACTTCATTCCTTATTAAAAAAAAAACTTCTTATTTTCAGTAAAATGCACTTGTTATTGGTTAGTGTTACAACTGATAAATCTTTTTACACTTGTGATGAACTAGTTATTACATTAACACAGTAAAGTGAGGTTTCATGCTGCACACAAAATATCAAATATGGAATACTGACTGAACTCAGGTTTAAAGCGGACCCCAGTTTCAACATTTGAACAGTCCCAGGAGTGATTAGTAGATGTAGATGATACTCAGTCAAGCACGCCTCAACTCTAACCTCCTACCACATGACTAACATATTACTATTACAATGGCTATTCTTCGGTTCTTCTGGATGAACCTGTCGAAATTGCATTGCTTTTATACTATGATTCAATGCTATTACAACAATATGTCGTCTGTTACCAAACTCTCTTGCCAATAAATTATTTCTATTGCTGTCTCATATTACTTGTCTCCATTGTAATGACGGAGATCTGAGCTACCAACATTTTGCTGCACTTATCAGCAGGCACATCACATAAATCTCTGCAATGCATTGGTTCAAATCACATAGTATAATAGCAGTCTGGAATGCAATAAATCTGCCAAATTTGTTTGGGAATGGGCTAACTTAATTTCAAGATCAGAATTGAAATAAAAACCAAAATGTACATTTTACTGAAGCCGTTTGCTACAAATCAATTTACATTTTTTTGAAAAAAAAATTGCTCCAGTCTGGAAAATGTAATTGGTTTTCTTTATTTTTGTCAGATCATTGCTGTTGACCCTGCAGGTTCAACCATGGCTGAACCAGAAGAACTGAACTTTCCAGACCAGATTTCATATGAAGTGGAAGGAATTGGCCATAGATTTATACCAACAGTATTGGACAGAAAAGTATGTCCTTGCATTTCAGATAGTGGGCATAATTATTTGAAGATCTTATTACTCTTAATGTATCATAAAGTGATATTTAATTTGTTTTCAACTTGAGACTTGGTTAAAAAAATTGTAGTATTTCAAGGCTGATTTCACTATAAATGCTATTCTTTGCAAATAAATCCAAAATTGTTTTCAGTAATGATGAGCTTTCTTGTTTCTGCTCTATATTTTATCCTAGAAATCATACATAGCATATATTTTTTCAACAGGCAGCAAACATGACTCATTTGAGAACTAAGAAGTAGTAAAATTTGGAAGAGTCCAATGTATACGAATAAGAAAGGCTATTTAACTAAACAAGTCTACTCCTTCTAACAGATGATATCTAATCCTGTTTTGAAAAATGAACAGTGCCCTATAGGGCAGTTGGCAACTTCTTCTAAAACCTTTGTTTTTACTTTGTACAAAGTGTATGGGGATGTCATGATGTTCATTATTTCTTTGCTGTTATTTTCTTTAAGAAAGTAGCTGCCTTTTTCTGCACCTTAGTAGCCATGAAACCTGCATACAGTACTTACCCTGTTCAATAATAGCATATACCTTAAAGTTACAATAAAGTGAAGACTATATTCTTTGTTTTAAGTTAAGTGCTTCTTATGGAAAATTGACAATTTCTTATAGAACTGATTAGACTGAACAGATAAGAAATTTTTCATTTGCTCTTTAGCTTAATACTGTACTGTCCCCTGTAACAAGAACGTTGTTTCTCAATCAGGTGATTGACAAATGGTTGAAGACTAATGATGAGGAAAGTTTTGCAATGGCTCGGATGTTGATCAAAAAAGAAGGATTGCTGTGTGGTAAACCATGTTTCAAATAGTACTTGCATGAATGTTTTCTCTATCCTTGTGAAATGAGATTCACAGTGTGAATCTTTTCAACAGCACATTTTCCGAAATATTGGTTATATTGAATTGTGGAACTTATTGCTACTTGTACTTAGAGACTGGGTGAATGCGCTTAATAAGAATGTTCTGAAATTGGTCCTGGAAGGCTGGATGATCAATTTCTCATAAGAAGATCTTGTCAGAATAAAGTTGCCTTGCAATGCCACAAGGGATTCTTGAGCCTTTACAGTAGTCATGATTTTCAAGCTTTGTTTAGTATTTGTGATGTATTACACACACTCCTATCTCAATCTATATGACACTAAGCAGAAAACTTTCTGATAAGTTATAGCAGACACTTTTAAGGCGGATGGACATTGTTATAATGGAATCATCATCACTAATTAAATGGTTCACCAAAGAAGGCATTGAATATGTTGAAACAGGTTATCTGTTGAACCCTTTGGGGAGGCCTAAAGATGCAATTTATGATTCCATTCTTTTACAGCTTAAGTCCCATCAACAATAGAACATAGTTCAATGTCAATTTAGAATGATTAAGTCAGTCCTACAGATAGAAATAAGTTACCAAATAATTAATTTAGAGAAGTGGTTTTGGATTTGAATCCTGGCCATTATAAAATTCAACTAATCACCAAAACAGAATTCCATCTGGTTTTGTAATTGAACAAATGTTGTTCAGGTTTTGCAGAAAATTTTGCATTTGCCTGTGATGGGATTTTTGTGATTCTACAGTTGTAGAGACCATTTCTCTGAACCAGGAGACCCAGGTTCAATTCCCTCCTGCTCCAGAGGTCCAATAATCTCTGAGCAGGTTGATTAGTGTACATCTGTAAAACTGTGGATGCTGTTAAATCACCAGTGTGTTATCTATTTACTGAAATTTAGATCCTGATTCTCCACCTCAAAAGTATCTGCAACAACTTATCAGGTGGTTTTCAGTTCCGCTTTGCATAAATCGACATGCCGGGAGAGAGCTTCAAACAATTTATCCTTAGTTTGATGCTATTCTTATTATAAAATTAAACAGACTGCAAGAGGTGCTCCCAAGACAATTGTACATTGACAGATGTAAAGGTTGTATCTCTGTTATCTGGCATCCTTGGGACTGGGCATTTTCCTGAACAAAAGAAAAACCAAGATTTTAAAAGTTATTCCAAATGTTAAAATGCTGAATATTTTGCAAGAATGACCAGCTGGCCTCATCCTGATGAAAGACTCTGAAAAACTTGTCTGCATTGGTTTAATTTTCAACGTAGGATTGAGGAAATCCGGCAATCCCACTCTTGACGTCACTTAAAATCTCATCGTGTGGAACTGGTTAAGTGACATTTGATGGCATCATGTTTCATGATACCTTTAAATTGCTATTAATTTTGAAAACAGTAACCCGCCCAAGCCCAAATTCAAACAATATAAATTAAATAAGCAAAAGCATGTGTAAGGAAAAGTGAGAAAGATCGTCTGGCTTATCTCCATCAGCTAGTAACTTTGGAAGAAATTTGTTATTGGCATTGGTACGGGAATGTGTTGACCTGATTGCCTATCCCATTGAGTTCACAATTACATGATTTGGTACTTTCCAGATAAGTTACTTTTCTTATCGATATGTAACTGAATAAAGTAGCCTATAAAATCATTTTATAGGCAATATAAAACAAGATTAATTTGATTGCTGATAACTTACATTAAAAGGTTCAGTACATCCAGAATTGGATTATATCTAAAAAACAGTGCCAGTATTTTTAATTTTTAATCTTGTTAGTATTCATTGGAATCATTGACCCAGATTTTTAATGATGATAAAATTGTCAGCATTTAATTTCATTATTTCTTTAAAATTGACACCAACTCTAGAGCCTGCAGTTAAACAGGGAAATTCAGAAGTTTCAGTTAGTGATTGCATGCTTCTCCATAGGGAGCACTATAGAGATCCCCACAGTCTGCAATCAATTAGAAATCAATGAACTGATGAGATCTTGTCCTTTCAATCTTTTACTGCTGCTGTAAAACAAAACTGTTGAAAATGTTATATCTCTTTTCATGAGGTGCAATTGGATTTCCAATGGGAAACCATGTTAATAATTATTGATGAACAGCCTCAAAAACTTAAAAAGTCCTGAAAATTTAAATTAATATTTATATATATTTTCTCCAACATGGTTTTTAAAAAATCAATGGTTTCAAAAGTGTCTTTATCGAAAAAGTTTGTTAATAATATTTCAGCTTCTAAATTAATGCTATGCCTATGTCTTAATTGTTTATTTTACTTTCTGTAAACTGTAACAATGTGAAGAACAATTGGAACATTTCACTCGTTGTCAATACTGTGATATGATTGACCAGTTGTCCCGCTTGATGACATCACTGTTCCTCATGTGTAGAAATCGTTTATATGTGGGTGACAGATTTATTTTTAAATCGTGGAAGGGGAAATCCATGTCACAGGCTTTTTAAATCTATATGGGCACTATTCCTTAAGGTCAGTGACAAGGACTGTTACTTGGTGATGGATGGCAAAATCCAGCCCAGTGTATGAATAACACAAACTTGTAAGTAACCTTTTGTTTCCATTGTGCCTGTTTCTAGGTGGAAGCTCTGGTAGTGCCATGTGTGGAGCTTTAAGAGTGGCAAAAGATCTGAAAGAAGGACAGCGCTGTGTAGTGATTCTCCCGGATTCTGTTCGAAATTACATGTAAGTTAGTAAGTAATGCTGCTTTGAGCAATTATCTAACACATTCATATTTGTAAAATACCTGCCCTTTGTATATAGGCCTTGGTTCCTGTTCTTTGCAGCCCCTGGTTCTCCTGCGATGTGGGATTTTATTAGAATTTAATGCTGCTCTTCTTTTATTCTAACTAGAATGTGGTGATAAAGTGACACTAATTTCCCATGAGAAATTAAATTCAGGAAGATTTTTGATACTATTCTATGATAAGATGGTGAGGGTTCAGAAGAAATTTACCAGGATGTTGCCAGGTATGGAAGGTTTGATTTATAAAGAAAGGTTGGATAGGCTGGGACTTTTTCACTGGAGTGTAGGAAGTTGACAGCTGACCTGATAGAAGTTTATAAAATAATGAAGGGTATAGATAGGATTAATGGTAGTTGTCTTCTCCCTAGCATGTATTATTTCGAGACTAGCAGGCACATTGTTAAGATGAGAGGAGAGAAATTTAAGTGATGGATGTGGGTACAATTGCAATGTTTAAAAAAAACGTTTGGATAAGTACATGGATAGGAAAGGTTTGGAGGGATATAGGCCAGGAGCAGGCAGGTGGCACTAGTTTAGTTTGGGATTACAGTCAACATGGGCTGGTTGGACCAAAGTGTCTGTTTCCATGCTTTATAACCCTATGTGCACCAATAACAAGATGTGGACAAATTATCCAGCATTGCAACTTTCTGAAAATTAACTGAGTATTTGTCTTCATTTGTTCTTTAACTTGCACTAATATAGGTCAAAATTTCTTAGTGATGATTGGATGGAAGAGAAAGGGTTCCTGCATGTGGAATGTGACCAAAAAAGGTACAGACACAAACTTAGCTGACTAATTCTCCAAAGTGCTGAGATACTGTTAATTAAAAGATCATCAGTCTCATTTTTTCGGATAGTAATTTTAAACAAAATAGGCATAAGTAAGCATTTCAGAACACAACATCTCCACCTTAGATTATAGCCAAATTAGTTTGAAGATCCATCTGAATAAATTATTGGTAGCATTAATTGTTGTACACAACTTAGATTTTCAAATGTATGTGCTCTACCACTGGTATGGCAATCAGAACAAAAGGATTAGCAATTTCTGCAAAACATTCAAAATGTGAACATTCAAGACACTCTTATGAACTTAGAGAACATCATCTGACCCAATTAAAAGCCTTATTTTATGGGCACCATGAAGATATATAACACTAACAAGGGAATACAAAAACATAACCATTGGAGTAGCACCAAGTGTTGTGGTATGTCATCTCAAATTTCTTATTAATTGAGTTAATTTGTTGTTTTTTTTTGCTGTAGCTGGTGGAATGAACCAATCAGTCAGATGAAGCTTCCACCAACTTTGACTGTCCTTCCCACAACCAGTTGCCAGGACATCATTCAGATTCTCAAAGAGGGTAGCATGAACAATGCAGTGGTCATTGACTCCAATGGGTGGGTATTATTCCAAGTAGGAACTTGTGGTGATAGTGGGAACTTTATATTAACATGTATAACTAAAGGATATTCAATGTAAATATTGAATTCATGGAATAAAATCTACCATTCAGTTCAGTATTACCATCCAAAACTACAACATGGCTGAATCTTGCTGAAAGTCAAGAATTTTCATATTCTTATTCAAATAGAACCTGTCGATAAAAATGACTGCTCTGAGCATGCAACATGATTCATAAGTCATTTGAGCCACCTTTCAATTTATGCAGACTGATCCTAACCTTAAATATCATTTACTATTGGTTCAGAATTAAACTAATTGAACAATCAAATTCCAAAAAGAATCTGTTGATTTAGCAGTGATGCATTGCAATGGTCTGAGCCAAGCATGCTAAATTCTTTACTAACCTGTCTACCTGTGACCCAACTCTCAAAAAACTATGCATCTGAACGCCTAGGTCTGTTTTTTTGCAGTTCCCCCCAGGGCCCTACCACTAACTGTATTAGTCCTGCTCTTGTTCATTTTACCAAATTGCAACACCTCACCTTTATCTAAATTAAACTCAATCTGCCACTCCTTAGCTATTGGCCCAGTTAAGCAAGATTCCTTTGTACTCTCAGATAAACTTCTTCACTTCCACTATACCACAAACTTTGGTGTCATCTGCAAACTTACTAACCATGCTTCCTATATTCTCATCCAAATTGTTTATATAAATGATGAACAACAGTGGACCCTGCACTGATCCCTGCAAAACACCTCTGGTCACAGGCCTCTAGTCTGGAAAACAACTCTCCACCAAAACTATCTGTCTCCTACCATCAAGCCAATTGTGTATCCAGTTGGTAAGCTCTCGCTGAATCCCATGTGATCCAACTTTACTCTAAATAGAAGCAATTGACCTGAAGTTGATGGAAACACTGTATGAAGCTCATATGATTTGCCTGTGCATTCAATATAACACTGTTATGAAATGTTAAATTGGTTGATTGTGAAAATGCCAGGTACACCCAAGTGTTTGCCAATTCCAGTGTTCTATTTCCAATCACAGGACCATGTAGCAGCTGGTTGCAAATCACCTTAAATACTCAATGTGAGTTCACATGGCTAGATTAGTTCTGAAATATAAAGGTTTTTCTGACAGCTAAATATTATCATTAATATGTTAACAGACATGCAATGGATAACTACTGTTTTATGAATTTGTTTGCAGGACAGTTCTGGGTTTGGTCACCCTAGGAAATATTATGTCTTTAGTTCATGAAGGAAAACTGCAGCTCACTGATCTGGTGTCTAAAGCCATTTACCAGCAGTTCCAAAAGGTAAGGGATTCTCCTTTTAAGCCAGCAATGCACTTTGTGAAGTTTTCATTTTGGTGCTTTAACCTAATCATATAGAACACAGAACAGTACAGCACAGTATAGGGCCTTCGGCCCACGATGTTGTGCCAAACTTTTACCCTAAACCTAAGGTCTATCTAACCTCCACCCCTACCTTATACTAACATCCATATGCCTATGTAATAGCCGCTTAAATGCCCCTAATGAGGCTGACTCCACTATCCTCTCCAGCAATGCATTCCACGCCCCTACCATTCTCTGAGTAAAGAACCTATCTCTGACGTCTCCCCAATATCTACCTCCACCCTAGGAAAAAATTGCTGGCTGTCCACTCTATCTATACCTCTGATCATTTTGTACACCTCTATCAAGTCACCTCCATCAAGTCACCTTTCATCCTTCGTCGTTCTAAAAAGAAAAGCCCTAGCCCTTTCAACCTTTCCTCGTAAGACATTCCCTCCATTCCAGGCAACATCCTGGTAAATCTCCTCTGCACCTTTTCCAATGCTTCCACATCTTTCCTGTAATGAGGCGACCAGAACTGGACACAATCCTCCAGATGTGGCCAAACCAGGCTTTTGTATTGCTGGAGCATAACTTCACGGCTCTTGAACTCAATCCCTCTATTAATGAAAGCTAACACACCATACGCCTTCTTAACAACTCTATTCACCTGGGTGGCAGCTTTCAGGGAACTGTGGACATGAACCCAAGATCCCGCTGCTCCTCCACACTGCCAAGAATCTTTCCGTTACCCTTGTATTCTGCTTTCAATTCTGTCCTTCCAAAATGAATCACCTCACACTTTTCAGGGTTAAACTCCATCTGCCACTTCTCAGCCCAGCTCTGCATCCTATTAATGTCCCTTTGCAACCTAGAACAGCCCTCTGCACTATCCACAACTTGACCCACCTGCGTATCGTCCGCGAGCTTACTAATCCACCCTTCCACTCCTACATCCAAATCATATAGAAAAATCACAAATAAAAGAGGACCCAGAACAGATCCTTGTTGTACACCACTCATAACTGAGCACCATGTTGAATATTTTCCGTCCACTACCATCCTTTGTCTTCTAAGAGTCAGCAAATTCTGAATCCAATCTGCCACATTTCCCCTTATCCCATGCCTCCTTACCTTCTGCATGAGCCTAACGTGGGGAACCTTATCAAACGCCTTACTTAAATCCATGTATACCACATCCACTACTCCACCTTCATCCACGTGTTTGGTCACCTCTTCAAAGAATTCAATAAGGTTTGTGAGGCATGATCTACCCCTCACAAATCCATGCTGACTATCACGAATCAAATTGTACCTATCCAAGTGATCATAAATCCAATCTCTTAGAGCCCTTTCCAATAATTTGCCCACCACTGAAGTAAGACTAACTGGCCTGTAATTTTCGGGGTTATCCCTATTCCCTTTTGTGAACAAGGGAATGACGTTTGCCACTCTCCAATCTTCCGGTACTATACCCGTGGACAGTGAGGATGAAAAGATCATCGCCAAAGGCCCTGCAATCTCTTCCCTCACTTTCCATAGAATCCTTGGATAAATCCCATCAGGCCCGGGGGATTTATCTATCTTCAAGTTCCCCATAATTTCTAGTACATCCTCCTTACTAACGTCGACCTCTTGTAGCCTACCAGCCTGTTTCACACTGTCCTCCCCTACAACTAGGTCCCTCTCAGTTGTGAATACCGAAGAAAAGTGTTCATTAAGGATCTCTCCTATCTCTTTAGGCTCCATGCACAAATTCCCTTTATAATCCTTGATCTGCCCTACCCTTTCTCTGGTCATTCTCTTATTCCTCACGTACGTGTAAAAATCCTTGGAGTTTCCCTTGATCCTATCTGCCAAGGTTTTCTCATGCCCCCTTATAGCTCTCCCAAGCCCTTTCTTCAACTCCTTCCTGGCTAACTTGTATCCCTCTAGAGTCTTTTCTGATCCTTGTTTCCCAAACCTTAAATAAGCATCCTTCTTCCTCTTAATCGTTCAACCTCTCTCGAGAACCAAGGCTCCCTCACTCGACCGCATCTTCCCTGCCTGCTAGGGACAAACATATCGAGCACACGCAGTATGCATTCCTTAAACAATCTCCAGATTTCTATAGTGCTCTTCCCTGACAGCATCTGTTCCCATTTTATGTTACCCAATTCTTGTCCAGAATTATAATTACCCTTCCCCCAATTATAAACTTTACCCTGCTGTATGTACCTATCCTTTTCCATGACTATTGTAAAAGTAGCAGAGTTATGATCGGGACCGCCAAAATGCTATCCTACCAACAGGTCTAACACTTGGCCCGGTTCATTGCCAAGCACCAAATCCAAAGTGGCCTCTCCTCGTGTTGGTCTATCTACATACTGTGTCAGGAATCCTTCCTGAATACACTGGACAAAATCCGCTCTGTCTAAACTATTAGAACTAAAATGTTTCCAATCAATATTTGGAAAGTTGAAGTCACCCATGACTACAACTCTGTGACTTCTGCACCTTTCCAGTATCTGCCTCCCAATCCGCTCCTCCACTTCTCTGCAACTATTAGGGGGTCTGTTTAAAAAAAACCCAACAAAGTGACTGCTCCTTTCTTGTTCCTGACCTCAACCCAAACTGACTCTGCAGACATATCATTCTCAAACTGCTTTTCAGTAGCTGCTATACTTGCCCTGACTAGCAATGCCAGTCTGCCGCCTCTTTTACCACCCTCCCTGTTTCTTTTAAAGCATCTAAATCCCGGAACTTCCAACAACCATTCCTGTTCCTGAGTTACCCAAGTTTCTGTAAAGGCCACAACATCGTAGTTCCAAGTACTGACCCATGCTGTAAGTTCATCCGCCTTATTTCTGATACTTCTAGCATTGAAATATACACACTTCAAACCATGCCTGTGTCCACAATTTCGCTCCATCGACCTCATTTCTTTATTAACAACCTCACTCCCTGTTGTGTCTGTTGGAAGGCTGAATACCTCATCCTCTGAATTACAAATGCAGTTCCCCACTCCTTGCCAATCTAGTTTAAACCATCCCGTATAGCTCAAGCAAACATCCCTCCCAGGATATTTGTGCCCTTCCAGTTCAATTACAACCCGTCCTTACTGTACAGGTCCACCTTCCCACGAGGTAAGTTTTTATACAGAAAAAAGCCTGACAATCTTGACGGCACCCTGGCTCGTGTCCTCACCAACTCCCGCCACTGAAAGCAAGAAGGTCGCTGCTGCGCGAGGTGAGTTTTTATACAGAAAATATAACAGAAAACGTTAGGAAACGTAAGTATCTTTTGAAATAATTAACTACTGTTTTAATGATATTTAATACTGTTTTATTTAATTAAATGTGATTAGAAAATAAAATTAGGATTCGATTTGCAACAATTGTGACGTTTCTTTCTTTGAATATTAAGATAACATCTATTTAAGAGGGCATAGTTTTAGGGTAAGGGGCAGGAGATTCAGAGGATTTAGGAAAAAACATTTTCACTCAGCGTGTGGTGGGAATCTGGAATGCACTGCCTGGGAATGTAGTGGAGGCTGGAAATCTTAAAACCTTTAAAATATATTTGGATGAGCACTTCAAATATCATAACAGTTAAGGATATGGGACAGTGCAGGAAATTGGGATCAGCTCACTTTTAGTGGTAGTTATGTTGGTGCAGACTCGATGGCTCAAAGATCCTGTTCTGCACTGTATGAATAAGTTCTTCATTGAAATGTGATTGTTTGAATGACAATTGAATCTGACCTTGGATCTAGTTACAGTCCTGTTAAATATCTTGTTAGGGATTGTATGAACAGCAATCCAAACATTAGGTAATAAATTGGCAGAATGTCAAAACAAAACTTTATTACATGTAAGAGTTAAACAATGCAAGCACTATTACATTTTTCTCATTCATTCACTGGACATGGGCATCGATGTCTAGGATAGCATTTATTGCCCATCTCTGATTGTTATGTTCCAATAGCTTCTATACAATTCCGCAACTGATTCCTAATTTCTGACAAATGCTTTCTCTGCCTGTCCCAAGTTGACTGAACAAGAGACTACTTCCAAGCTAAACTACTTCCTGCCACAAAATTTTGTGAAGTCTTCCTTTATGGTGTGAGGTCTATAAATCTTCCAGTTTCTTTTCCCTTCATAAATTCCAACCTGTTCTCAAGCCTCACCTGCATACCACACAGTGAATGAAAACATATTTTGTTGCTTGTTATACTAGCCTAGTCAACATTATGTCATTTTCCTTTGCAAACACTGAACTGCAGTCTAGTTCCAAACCAAAACCAGAGCTGCTTGCTTTCGAAGCAAAATTCCAGATAATTTGAACAAAATTGTATCTGACCCCACAGTCTGTGTCTGTGCATGATTTAGGGATTCTAAAATAGAAATGTGAACATAGTGTTTTAATGTCAACACAGCTCTGATTTTTAAACTTCTGTGAATAATTTATGTTACAAGTGCATGCATTTGTCATGTCCCTGGCTCCCTGGTTCCTATAATTGCTCCTATTTTAACAGCAAGGGGAATAAACAGTGCTTTGGAAAAATTATTCTGCTCTTTTCCTCCCATCAGTTTGAAATATTTGTTGTATTTATTGTCTTTTCTTGTGATAGACTCTCAATGGTTACACTGTGATTTAAGTCTCTAACCTTACATTACAGTAATAAAATTATTGCTGATATTTAAATATCTTTATTACTGCAGTATTCGAGGTGTGGTTCAGGAACAACATTATATAAGGCACACTTTAGAAATAGTGTCCAATTACCGGAAGTGGCACATTAGAGTACATAGGTCTTTGCAGACAGAAAGAACATGGACATGCACTGAACCTGTTTCAGTAAACTATGTGACAGCCATTCATTGATTCATTTCTCAGAGCAATTCCCTGAACAATCAGCGTTAACCTGCCTGGTTTCAAATTTAAACAAAGCCTTCCAGTTAACTGTCAATTGGTATTAATGAATGCATTTTCACTGACAATGCCTCTACCAATCAGAATCCGTTTTCCAATCAATCAGCACCCTCCTCTCATACTGTAAAATTGTTGCTTTTCCCTTTGAATTGATACTCTCGTGGACAATCCTGATGGGTGTAGATGAAACATTTTGACAAAATGTGACTGTTCAGTAATACTCATGTTCTGCACAAACAAAATTGTAAAATAATCTGAAGTGAAACTTGTCGCCCTAATGTCTGAACAAATTCATGTTGAGGAGATGCTTTGGTGATTTTTATTTTGTGTTTTTTCCTTTAGCAACGCAGAACATAACCTTTGCTTTTTCAGATGTGTTTATTTTCATTGATATGCTCAAACAGATTCTACCTAAGGAAAGCTGAGAACTTCTGGCCTCTTAGATTTCCTTACAACTCAATCAGCTAATACATCTTGATGTACATGTGTAGGCAGAGAAATATTTGTGAGGAGTATTTATTATTAATGTTTCTTACTCAAAGGTTTAAATTACTGGTTTAATCAACCAATTCTCTCATCGACAGAAAAATATCACTTGTGGGAATAGGTTTTTGTCATTTTAAGCATGATAAAGTTTGCTGACAATATTGTGAATTGTAACAAAATCAAAAGTTTAATGAAAAGTATTCATGCATTGCTCTTGTTTAACTATTTATTTTCTTTACTAGGTGAAGTTAAGTGACACTCTTGGGAAAATCTTGCAGATTTTGACACTGAATCACTTTGCCTTAATTGTTCAAGAACAAGTTCACAGTAAGTCAAAGCTGGTTTGACTGAGCTGGTCATAAATGCAGCCATGGAAACAAATGCAGAGTAAATGTGACTGAAGGTCACAAGATTTATGAAATTCATATCAAGGTAAAGTGATGTGTCATTATTCCATTCGTTATTGAGATTATACAGCGGGTCTGCATCAGGAAGAAACCCATGTCTATGCAGAAATATTAGACAAATTTCAAAACTTACTCGCTTTTGCTTTTCTACAGGTGATAGATTTTTGAAATGTGCCAGTATGAATAGAATGCAGAGTGCAGCAATTGCATACCACCTAAAAGTGCTCACTGTTACCTATGGCCGTGAATGAGTAGACAGGTTCGAACCGTTAATGTCTACGTTGATAATAATAGTTGTCTGTTTTACTGGACATCAAAATATGATTTACAAATTACAATGCATTTAAATTCAGTGAACTAACAGCTACAATACCAATACTGATTTCCCATCTTGATGATCAGACATTAGGCTATAACCTCATGTGAAAATGAAATTTCAGGATTTCCTTAGCTCATGTGAATGTATTTTTCCCTGTTAGATTCATCAGTGAATAAGAGCTGTCCTCACATTACTCAAGATAATATGCAGATATCTACAGGTTGATCCAGAACACACTCCTGACCAAGAATAATTTCTTGTATGAAAGGGAAAACAATTCTAACTCAAACAAAATAGGTTTCATTTCATAACTTTAGTGTTATGAACTTTTTAACAGGCAAACAAATGTTTACTCTCCGAGAACCTCTTAATTTATTGCAAATCTGCTGAAGGTTTTCTTTTAGTCCTGGTTTTTATCTCATGAGTCATGCTACATTTTTCCTCTCCAGTGTCTTAAAGTTAGAGGATTGTGAATGGGAATCAGTATTTTTAATTCATCTAGGTTAAATTAATGTTTTGGAGCAAACTTGTGTTCCCCATTTTGTCCATGGTTGATATGTTTATATATAAGAGGTGTACATTTACATATCCTCAAGAGTGTAGAGATCTCAAATTATAATTTCAACATCAAGCTTTTGTGAGTTTAAAAACAGAGAAGGTTATTTATTCTCAGAGCTTACTCTGAAAATAAAGCAACATTTCACTCCCTTGTCTTTCACTATGGTCTCACACACAAAGAATAGATACAGATGAAGGTAAAATACTGTTAGAGCTAATGATTATCTCAATCTTTTTCACAGCATACTTGTAATTTCACCAATATAATGATAAGATATAGGAGCAGAAGTAGACCATGCAGCCCATTGAGTCTGCTTCACCATCCAATGAGATTGTGCCTGAGTTGAAGATCCTCAACTCCACATTCCTGTCTTTTCCCTATAATCCTTGATTCAATTGCTGAATAAAAATACATCTCTCTCAGCTTTGAAGATACTTAACTCTGACAGCCCCCTGCAGTAAGGATTTCCAAGTTTCAATGCCCTCTGAGAGAAGAAATTCCCCCTCATTTCTGTCTTAAATATGTGACCCCTTATTCTGTGATTATGTCCTCTAACTCTCACAAGGCGAAATGACCTTACGGTATCAATCCTGTCAAGTTCCCAAATAACTGGATGTTTTGATAAGGTCCATAAGATCATGAGATGTGGAAGCAGAAGTAGGCCATTCAACCAAACGAGTTTGCTTCACCATTCAATTACATCATGGTTAATCTAAGAATTCTCAACTACAATTTCCTGTCTTTTCCTATAACCTTTGTTTCCTTTCCTGATTAAAAATCTGTCTTAGCCTGGAATAAACTTATAGATGGCGTTGAAGTGTAGATCTGTAAAATGAAGTATTTTCAGTAGGCTCTAAGATTTTTTTGTAGTTGAAATTCCAAATTTTGCTGCTTGATTGCTTGCATTTGGTAACCTGAGTGTATATTGAGTCATAGAGGTCGACAGCACAGAGAAAAGCCCTTCGGCTCATCATGTCTACATTAGTCTAAACAACTGTCCAACTACTCTAAACCCATTTTCTAGCACTTAACTATAACCTTGGTTGCATTGTCATCACAAGTGCACATTTAAATACTACTTCAATGTTATCAGGTTTTCTGCCTCTACCACCTTACATACAGTGAGTTCCAAAGTTCCAGCACTCTCTGGATGAAAAATAATGTTCCTCACATCTCCTCTAAACCTCCTGCCCCTCCCTTAAATCAATGCCCCACTCATTGATCCTTCCAAAAGGAATAAAAGGTTTTTCCTGTCTACTCTGTTTGTTTGTGTTCCTCATAATTTTATACAACTGGGTCATGTCTGGTGTCAATCTCCTCTGCTCCAAGGAAAACAACCCCAGTCTATCCGATTTCTATTCATAACTGAAACTCTCCAGCCCAGGTAGCATCCTGGTAAGTCTCCTCTGCATCCTCTTACATCTATCATATCCTTCCTTTGATATGGATTCGAGAACTTAGTACAAGGTTCTAACCGTGGCCTAACTGACATTTTATACAATTTCAACATAACCTCCCAACTCTTAAACTTTATGCCTCCTCTAATAAAGACAAATATATCATGCGTCTTCTTAATCACTTTATCCATCTGCCCTGATACCTTAAGGGACTGGTGGATATGCGCATCAAGGTCTCTCCCATCCTCAGTGCTTCCCAGACCCTACCGCACATGATGTATTCATTTGCCTTGTTTTTCAAGTGCATCACCTCACATTTATCTAGAATGAATTCTGTTTGACACTGATCAGCCCTCCTGACCAACCTGTCTATATCCTTCTGTAATCTGAGCGTTGTCCTCCCATGGTTTATCACCCCACCAATTTTTGTATCATCTGCAAAATTACTGATTTCTTCTTGCAGATTTAAAAAACATACAAAATGAATCCCTGCATCAAGTGACTTTCCAGAAGTTCATCTTTCTTTTTCCAGACAAAGGCTTAGTGTGCCAGTGAACTCCAGCACCCTGTGTTGTTGCTTAAAATGTTGAGATTCACACAGGCTAATTTGAATGAAGAAGGGAAACCATTATAATACAATGGAAAATCGACAGGGTCCATTTACATTTATTTTACATTGGCTCAGAGATTCTGCTGGCCAAGTAGACATTGGAGCAGAATAGTGGTATTGTGATTTGAGACTATGCAGAACTCCTGATTGAGCTGAGTCCAGTAGAATTTCAAAATTCCAATGGGTATTTCTCCTATATCTGGAACTCTCCAAAAAAAAGACCCTTAAAGTTGGAGAATTCTGAAGGTTCCAAGACAATGAAGCTTCATACTTACCCACAATAAATTAGCAAATTAAAAACTTGTTCTAACGCCCGGATAACGCTAGAACTCCATTTTTAAAAAAAATTAATGGATGGAGGTCAAAGGTTTGTGCACAACAGTAACTTCTTGAAACTAACATCAAAATGTTGGCTCACCAGTTATGTTGATCGCCGAGCATGGGACCTCAGTGTGGCTGTGTGACCATTTAGCTGCCCAACTTAAAGGGAACGTTGAACTGAACCCCTAACCCCCCCCAGTGACCCTGTCATCACTCCATTAACTACAAACATTCCGCAATTCTTGTTCATGACTAATAGATGAATATTTTCAGAGTGGCCTACTTTCATCTTGAAAATAATACCAAGAAGTGCAGATGCTGGAAATCTGAAAGCAAAACAGAAACTGCTGGAGAAACACAGCAGGTCTGGCAGCATCTGTGGAAAGGAAGCTAAATCAACATTTCAGGTTCATTAATCTTTCAGAACTGATCTGATGAAGGGTCACTGGATCTGAAGCACTGACTTTGCTTTCTCTCCACAGATGGTGCCAAACCTACTGAGTTTCTGCAGCAATTTCTGTTTTTGTTTCTTCTTCCATGTCTGTTTTTCATACTCCAAGTTTATTATTAAGTGAGATGAATTCATTTATCGCAGGTTCATATACAGTCCTATGGTCTGAATTCATGTCAATTTGTAACTTGTTAAGTCTACCAAAACTCATTATTGTTGATAATATTACAGCTAGGAGAGAGTGAGAGAGGGAGTTTCAATGTCAACACTTTAGAATAGATTTAAATCCTGACCCCAGAGGTAACAGGCACAATAAATCACAGTGGGACCCAAATCCCTCAGTGGCTTCATTATGACTCGAGTGGAAACTCTAAATGGCTGAACTATAATCAAACAATGAGCTAATATTGTACTGTTAGAAAAGGGTGAAATTAATTCCCAAAAAGAGGCATCTTTTAAACTCAATAAATTTTTATTTTACTAATGTATAATTGATTTTCACTTAAGCAGCTTTAAAAAATTGATGTGATTTAGACATTGGTGGTTAATGCAGCTTTTATTGACCATCCTTAATTGCCCTGGAGAGGGTAGTAATGAGCTGGCATCTTAAACTGCTAATATCTATATGGAGTCGGAATAGTGCTTTTAGGAAGGGAATTCCAGGATTTTGACCCAGTGGTAATGAAGGATGATTAGGAAACTCAAAGTGGAAGTTGTGGTGGTGGTATTCTAATACGTCTGCTGCCCTTGGCTGCCTAAGTAGTAAAGGCTCTGAATTTGAAGGTGCCTTTGAGAGAGCCTTAATGAGATACTGCAGTGCATCTTATGGAGTGCTTATAGTGCAGGCACTGTGCGTAGCTGGTAAAGGGAGTGAATGTTGAAGGTTGTGGTTAGGATGTCAGTCCGTGAGGACTGCTTTGGCCTGTATGGCATCAAAGAGTCACTACTTCCCTGAATGAGTGGTGATTTAACAACACTTAACAAATTTAATGCTACCCAGGATAAAGGCAGCTTTATTGACACATCACACCATTTTAAACAGAGCTTCTGGTTCCATCAGGTGGATGCTATTGCAATAGGACTGAATCTAACCTGCAATATTATGGGGACAGAAAGGGTGAATAGGAGCGAAGTACTACTACTAATTAGGGATGCCAGGAAAACAGTCTAAAAATCAGAGCTAGACTTTCACGAATGAAATTAGTAAATATTTCTATGCAAAAGGATTGATAGAATTTTGTCACTCGCGCACTCATGCAATTGATACTAGATTTATTGATTGCTAATTTAAAACCTGAGATTGATAGATTTTTGTTAGCAAAAGTTATGAGGCAAAGGAGGGCATATGGAATTAGGTCACAAAACAGCTTTGATCTCATTGAATAATGAAACAGTTTGAAGGGTTAAATAACCTCCTCCTCTCGTCTTCCTAAGATACAGAGCTTCAGAATAGTGTTATTGATATCTACATCATTGAAGATCTGAACGACATTTGAGTTTTTTTGTTTATGTTTCAGGTACTGGCAGTGGCGAATGTGGAAAGAGAGAAGTGGTGCATGGCGTGGTAACATTTAATGATCTGATAAGCTTTGTAACAGACGAGAAGAAAATGATGGGGACAGCAAAAAAATATTAAATGGCAGATTTAAAATCCTGATAGGGTATCGATAGTGTCAGCAATTTGATGGATGTTGTACATAATTCAGGTTATGTATGCTTGCACAAACTGATTTTCTGTGCAGAGAAATTGTAGCTTTTGTTTCCATGTTATTAGTACATCCAGCAACTTACAACTTGAAAGCTTGATAATGAATAAAAGTGCTTTGCAGTCTTAAGAATCTCAATGGAGTTTTTTGCAGTTCAGGAAGAGGTTGTTTGGCCATGCCAGCTCCTTATGGAGCAATTGGGTCAGTCCCATTTACCTGAAATGGATCAAACAAGGAGACCTAGTATTAGCTGCCCTACCTTTTCACCATTGCTAAAATGTACCTAGCATGTGCTTGAAGCATTTTGCCCTTCTTATAGAGTCGTAGACTTCATACAGCATGGAAACAGACCCTTTAGTCCAACTCATCCATACTGACCAAGTTTCCCAAACTAAACCAGTCTCATTTGCCTGCATTTGTCCCATATCCCTCTTAACTTTTGCTATTCATTTACCTGTCCAAATGTATTTTAAATGTTGTAACTGTACCTGCATCTACCACTTCCTCTGGAAATGCATTCCTTGTATAAACCACTGTTTATGTGAAAAAGTTGCCCTTCAGTCCTTTTTAAATCTTTCTCCTCTCACCTTAAAAATATGCCCTCCAGTCTTGAATTCCACCACCCTAAAGAAAAGATCTTTGCTATTCACCTAATCTATGACCCTCATAATTTTGTAAACTTCTCTGAGGTTACCCCTCAACCTCTTATGTTCCAGTGAAAAAAGTCCCAGCCTATCCAGCTTCTCCTTATAATTCAAACCTTCTAGTTCTGGCAACATCCTGGTAAATCTTTTCTGCACCCTCTTCAATTTAATAATATCCTTCCTGTAGCAAGGCAATCAGAAATGTAACATCCTGTACAATCATAACATGATACCCCGACTCCTATAATCAATGATCTGAGAAACAAAGGCAAGTGTGCTAAACACCTTCTTAAACACCCTGACTAACTGTGATGTACCTTGCAAAGAACTATGTACCTGAATCCCTAGTTCTCTCTGTTTGACAACACTCCCTAGGGCCTTACCATTAACTGTACAAGTCCCACCCTTGTTCATCTTAACAAAATGCAACACCTCGCATTTATCCAAATTAAACAGTATCTGCCACCCTTTGACCCACTGGTCCAATTGATCAAATTCCCTTTTGTAATCTTAAATAACCTTCTTCACTGTCCTTTATACCACCAATTTTGGTGTCATCTGCAAACTTACTAACCATGCTTCCTAAATTCTCAACCGAATCATTTATAAATGACAAACCACAATGAACCCAGCACAGATCCCTGCAGAGTACTACTGGTCACAGGCCTCCAGTCTAAACAACAAAGCTCCACCACCACCCTCTGTCTCCTGCCATCAAGTCAATTTTGTATCCAATTGGCAAGTTCTCCCTGAATCCCATGTGATCTAACTTTACTAACCAGTCTACCATACAGAACCTTGTCAAAGGTTTTACTAAAGTCCAAGTAGACAACTGCTCTTTCCTCATCTATATTTTTGGTCAGATTGTCAAAAAACTCAATCAGGTTTGGGAGATACAATTTTCTACACACAAAGCCATGTTGACTATCCCTTGCCTCTCCAAATGCATGTAACTCCTGTCTCTTAAAATCCCCTCCAACAACTTACCCACTACTGATGTCGAGCTCACAGGTCATTCATTCCCAGGTTTCTCTTTATAGACTTTTCTTAAATAAAGTCACAACACTAGCCACCCTCCAGTTCTCCTGCACCTTACCCATGGCTGTTGATGATACAAATATCACTACTAGGGGCCCCAGAATTTCTTCCCTAGTTTCCCACAATGTGATACACTTGATCAAGTCCCAGAGATTTATTCACCTTTATGTTTTATTAAGACCTCCAGCACTTCCTGGTCTGTAACGTGGATTGTTTCCAAGACATCAACGTTTATTTGTACAAGTTTTCTAGTTTCCATGTTTTTCTCCACCGCAAATACTGATGCAAAATATTTGTTTAGTATCTTTCCCATCTCGTGTGGTTCCACACAGAGAGGACCTCATTAATCTTTAAAGGGCCCTATTCCTCTCCCAGTTGCTCTTTTGCTCTTAACCTATTTGAAGAATCTCTTTTGATTATGCTTAACCTTATCTGCCAAGGCTATCTCATATCCTTCTTATGTCCTCCTCATTTCCCCCTTAAGAATGATCAAGAGATCACTTGATCCCAGTTGCCTGTACTTGACACAAAACTCCCTCTTATTCTTCAGCAGAGCCTCAATATCTTTATTCATCCATTGTTCCCTACCTCCTACCAACTTTGCCCTTCACTCTCACAGGAACATACTACCTTTGAACTCTCATTATCTCAATTTTGAAAGCCTCCCGTTTGGCAGTTGTCCCTTTATGTGTGAATAGTCTACTGCAATCAACATTTGAAAGTTCCTGGTTTATGCCTTACTCTAATTTAGAACTTTAACTTTTACAACATGCATATCAGTTATTTACTCCTCCTTGTTCTTTACACTGGTACCATCCTGATCAATATATGGGTAATTGAAATCCTCAAACATCACCACTGTACAAGTCTTAAATTTCCCACACATCTGCCCTTTTCCTCCAGCTTCATGTTCTGGAACTTGTACAGCACCTAATGTCACTCTGGGGTATTCCTGAGGCTGAGCCATGTAGTTAGCATGTGGTCACTATGCAGTTAGCGTATGCAGGGAGAGTGGGTATGGGTGAGCAACAGGCTTCAAAAAGAATCAGGCAGGTGGTACAGGAGTCCTGACAATGCATTCTGCTTGCCAACCATTCATTAGCTCCGAATACTGACAACGGTGACAGTTCATCTGAGTGTGTAGCCAGACTAAGGGCAGTACTTGGGAATACGTAAGCTCACAAAGCAAAAAGATATGGCAACATTGCAGAACATTCATTGAGGTAATGATACCCAGAATAGGACAGGAAAAGACAGAGTGTACAAACATTGAAAAAGCGTAGCTAGTTGGATGAAATGGAGCAAAAACTAATAAAACACAAAGCTTAAGTGCATGTGGTATTTAGAATAAGGTAAATTAATTAATGGCATAAACAGAGATATTGGCAATGATCTTATAGATATTACAGAGACATGGTTACATGAGTTTGAAGCTGGAAACAAAATATTCAGGAGTATGCGACTTAAGTAGGAATTGGGTGCTGATATTGCTTTGTTAGGACCAGATGGAATAAGTATGATAATAAACAATAAATTTGGATCAGAAGCTATTGAATCCATATGTGTGGAGGTAAGAAATAAGGTGGAAAGTAGGCAATAGGCTCCCTAACAGCGGCTATACTGTAGAACAGAGAATAATCAACAGATAATGATTGCATGTAAAAAAAAGACACTACATTAATCATGATTTTAATCTTCATATAGATTGGGAAAATCAAATAGCCACAAGAGCGCATTTGGGACCAATTCTTAGAACAATATTATGTTGAAATCCAACCAGGGTTTGGGCTATTTTTGATCTACCAATATGAAATGAGGCAGGTTTACTAAATGATCCTGGAGTAAAATGTTGCTAATGAAACTGTGACTGTAGTTCTGTGTTGTAGGAATTCCATGATTCTATGATTCTATGTGGCAGAATGTCGAACTCAGTTTGAGAGCAAGAAACTTGGTTCTGAAATAACTGTGGGGAAATGTTCATGTCTATTATGCAACATGTAATAGGGGAGCATTTATACATACATAATGAAGCAGAGTCAACATGACTTTATGAAGGGAAAATTATGCTTGAAAGATTTATTAGAATTCTTTGAGGAGGTGACAAGCAGAAAGATAAAGAAAAACCAGTAAGTGTAATATATTTGGATTTTGAAAGGCATTTTATAAGGTACCATACCAGGCTACTTAAAAAGATAAGACCCATGGTCTTTGGGATGGTATATTAGCATGGATAGAGGATTGGTTAACGAATACAAGGTGGAGAGTTAGGAAAAGTGGGGCATTTTCAGGGTGGTAATCTGAAACTAGTAAAGTTCCACAGTGAACAGTACTGGGGTCACTATTATTTACAGCATATATTAATAAACTTCAATAGGGAAGCAAATGACTATTACTAAGTTTATAGATGTACAAAAAAATGGGTGAGAAGCTCTGTGATGAGGATGACACAAAGGTTCCATAGAGAGGTAAAGACAGGTTAAATGAGTGGGCTATAACCAGACAGGTAGAAGATAATGTGGGAAAATGTGAGGTTTTGCACTATGACAACAAGAATTAAGGAGCTGCATATTAATTCAATGAATAAAGCTTGCGGAATGATGCAGTACAGAAGCTTTGGAAGTCCTCGTACATAAATTACAAAAAACTAGCACGCATGTTCAGCAGACAATAGGGAAGACAAATTGAATGTTTGCCTTTATTTCAAACAGAACAATGTTTAAAAACAGGGGCTTTTTCCTAAAACTGTACAAGACACAAGTGATACCATATGTAAAACACCATATAGCCCTAATTTGCCTTCTAACTGAAAGAGCTGCACTCAAAAATTAAGTACTGCTTCTATCTCTGCAAAGTTGAATGGTATGCCTTTATACAACATTGATGTTGGGATGGGAGAGGACCCTCTTGCAGCTGAATATACGTTATATTCCATATTTAGGAAAGGGGGCTATTGGGATCGAGGTGGTCAAAAATAAAGTGCTAGATACCAAATCAGCATTAGGTACTAATATCATGATCTGTTCACTTCACTTGGTTCCAGATCATGTACCAAAATGCCTTCATCATTGTCTTTTAAAACAGCAGTCAGTTTGGATCACGTGAGAAGCCATCAAGAACGGATCCCCCGGCACTCTTTCTCACATCAAAGCTCATGTTATGCCATTCTTCCTCCATACCAAAATTGCTAATATTTCAAAGACATGGTTCCTGCTATAATGGCCGAGATCTTACTAAAGACAAAGATAGAA